CGTGTGCCATTAGCGCCTGGCTTAAAGGGAGGCATGTTATGAATTCTTGTTGGTATATGTCAGTTTCCATCACCAGCACTAATAATAACTTTAGGGCCATTATTAAGTGAAGTAAGGGTCAGTTGGACATAGGCATTGCAATCTCGTGACAGGTGATTTGATGGAGCAGGCTATTTCTGAGTGACAAGAGGGCAGATAGCTATGCCTCAGGAAACTCAGGAAGCTAATGGCCCAGTCATGACAGAGAGGGACAAGTGATTGTGGCTTCCATGGTTTATTTTTGGCAGTTTTCTGTCTTTTGTGCTATTCAGCTTTTGGAAGAGGAGGGACTATATCCATAAACCTGAGAGTATATTTCAGCTTTCATTTTCTTGAAGGTGGATGTCTAAATCATTTATGATTTCCCCAAAATGCCAAGTGGGCAGAGTAGGCATCTAGTGAGTAGCAATAGAAAAGTAAATTATCATTTATTATGTGTAGACCCCAATCCAGTCAGAAACCTGATGGGTCATTGTTGTGTTCTGTTTGTTTTCAGATTGACTCAGAAAGACTGATGCATTTAACTTGAGGGCTGAAAAGAGGGATAACTTCCCGCTAAAAAGCAAAGAATGAAGATTCTTTCCTGAAAGCAAAATAAAACATGGTTTACCAAAAATCAACATTTATTGAATTAACCTAAATATGTTATCCAGTCTAATTTTAGCTTTGCAATAATTTCACACTAACTGACACAAAAGGCCCAGACATCTCTAAAGAAATTGATGCCAGAAATTTGAAAGCACAAATTGAAAATAAATTTCAGTTAATTTTGACATTATCCAAAATCACTGTGTATCAATTTAGCCCTTCAGGTGCCACAACTTCAATTAGTTTGTGTACTAATTAAAGACAAGTATAAAAGTTAAACACATTGGGGGATGGGTGGAGAGATGACTCACTGGTTAAAAGCAGCCATTGCTCTTGCAGAAGACCTGGGTTCTGTTTCCAGCACCCACGTGGTCGCTCACAACTATCCATGAGTCCAGTTCTAGGAGATCTGATGCCCTTTACTGACTACTGTGGGTACCAGGGATGCATGTGGGGAATTTGCATGCATACAGGCAAAACATTCCTACCCATAACATAAATTAAATAAATATAAAAATTTTTTAAATTAAACTTAAAACATATTTTTAAACTTAATAAAATGTTAGCTACCTTTAAGTACGTTGTAGGAGCAATAATCTGGATGCATATAGAGCTCTTGGATCTTAAAATAATTTGGTAAGCCATTTCCAGAAATCAACAATACTAATATATGGGTTTCCTGCTTCCTACCAATGTCAAGCAGTCTAATAAACACTTAGATACTAAGTGGTTAGTCCTGGCTCCATTTACCATAAGAAAACAGGTTCAGGGAAACCTACGGCCATGAGTGGCTTGGGTTTTTAAGGCACTCTCCTGTTCTTCCCAAGTACATGTAGATTTCTCCATACAGACATGTTTTTCTTTCACTATTAGTAGTCAGAGTCGTGGCTTGCACAAAAAGGGTTTTGTTTTGTTTTGGTTTGGTTTAGTTTTGGTTTTTTGTTTGTTTGTACTTCTTTTCCCCAGGCTTTCCCCCCCCAGATGCCTGGATTATTCAAATCTTTTTGAAGTCTTCAACACCTTCAGTGTCTTAGAAAGAGATCATTTTATTGGGTTTTATATACATTCACATTCATAACTTAGCTCAAGCTTACTAAGCCATCTGTATCCTGGGGGTTCCTGTGATCTAGATCTCTCCATTTTTTCATCCACAGGAGTAAACATTGGGCTGATGTGGTGCATTTGTTCTTTGGTAATGCCCCAGATCCAACCCTACAGCTACATAGTCAAATTCACTAAATAAACGACCTGTTGTGTGTCCACAGGTCAGACCCTATGCCCAGAAGGAAAACTGTCAAAAGAAAATTATAAAAGAAAATGAATCAATTCAGTTGAGTTCTGGTCCACACTGAAATTCAAGGGGCAGTGAATTAAGCTTTTAAATTCTCTAACTGCTGATTTTTCTATTATCCTTATATACTGACAGAGTTAACAGGGTCTTAAAGTGAAGGAAAGAAAACCCTTAGAAGGCAACTAATTGAGTCTGACCTTTAGTTATAACTTAGGTATATGAAATAATAATATGCTAACATGCTTACAACATTCAAAAGCAGCTGGGGGGTGGTGGTCCTTGCCTTTGATCTCAGCACTCAGGAGGCAGAGACAGACAAATCTCTGTTGAGTTTGAGGACAGTCTAGAATACAGAGTTCCAGGACAGCCAGGGATACACAGTGATACCCTGTCTTGAAAATAAAAATTAAGAGAATACAAGAGGCAGTTTGGTGAAATTTGCCGACTAGGGTCCCAATTTACCACATAAGGCATTTTCTACCAATTTCTCATTCATCCTTCTAAACATGTATTTTTTTTGCAAATACAAGCAAAATGCAATTTTTTTCTTTTCCCAAAGTTCAAAATTTGTATTTGCTGTACAGACACATAGAGCCCATAATGTAAAAATTAAGAATATAGATTATCCATACTTAGCACCTAGAATGCAAATGAATATTCATAGGCTGAATATTACATATACAATTAATATAACACCCCAAGTGTAGTATAATTTATCTTTTTTATTCTATGTTTTTCTAACAATAGATATATCTTAGAAATTGTTCCCACATCAGTCCCAAAAGGATTCCTTACTTGATTTTGTAGTTTTCTACTAAAGTAGTCTATTGTTGAGATAAACCCACATTTATTTATTTGATCAGTTCAGTTCCCTGTTAACAGACATTTGGGTTTTGTTTTGTTGTGTTTTTTTAATGTTTGGTCATTCTGAATAAAGGTACAGTGGATAAGCTTATATGTGCGACAATTTGCACACATGGGAAACTTCAGAAGGGGAAATGCTAGGTCATGTGTAATCTGATAGAAATTGCGAGCTCATCAACCACAGAGGCAGTGCTAGACATCTCCACTGTCCATGTAAAGAAGCACAAAAGCTCTTTGTTACATTTATACAGTCTGGAAGAAGTCACTTTCTGTGCTATCAAGGGCTGGCATCTGCTCCATGCTGCAGTGGCCATGGTGAGAGTCTGCTGACTCTCTGAGAAGGACTCCTAGGCCTTAGGAGTAATTTTTAATTTAAATTTGAGTAGCATCATGCACAGGAACACACGTGAGTGTGGTGAGCAGTGTGTAGAAGGCTTCACAGAGGGAGCCAGTGAAGGAAACTGAGATCTCACTACAACAACCACAACATGAATTAATCCCATCCAAATCATCCAAGAGAGAGGTTAGCTTCCCACAGTAACCATACAGCCTGACTCACTTCCCACAGAAAACCATCAGGTCCTCTTCAGGACTAGTCATCAGCTCCTAAAGGTTCCATCTCATCCACACCACCGCTTTGGAAACCAAGCTTCCAGTTTATGCCTATCTGAGGGACAGACCACATCCAAGTCAAGACTCGTCTGTTCAGAATTCACCATCTTATCTTCTCAAAGTCCCCAGGCATCATCCTAAACTCTTATATTCTAACACATGAGTTAATGGTCATTAATATTTTAAATGAATGTTTACATAGTCTCTTCATCGAGACCGCACGCTCCATGGAGGCATGGAGTATTTCTTTGATGCCTTCATAATTCCCAGTACCATGTAAATGCGAGTCACTGGGATGTTTGCAGTGGAAGTGGGAGATCAACTTCTGAGGCTAAATGGCACTTTGTATATCTCAGCTTTGGTGTAGGCTGGGAGAGGAAGATTGACTCTTAGACTACAAAGACACATGCGCATGCACGTGTGTGTGTGTGTGTGTGTGTGTGTGTGTGTGTAGGTGGAAGAAACCATTCAGAGAAAAGACATTAATTAACAAGTTAGCACATGATCCGATCCTGCTATGGGACCTGGTAAAGCCATTGGTTGTCTAAGGACTGCCATAGATGACAGTGTGTCATTGTTACTATAAAGATACCCATCTTCCTTTGAAAACATCCCGAGACGTACGTTATTAGGAACAGCCACCATGCTTTGAGGGTATCTGATGTCAAGAAATTATCCAAAGATCAAAAGCTTCTTCCAGCTGAACTGCTGAGGAAGTGATCAAGAGAGACAGCACATTCAAAGATCGACACCTTAGCCAATGGTAAGCGTGATGACATTGGTTTTTTTTTTTTTTTTAAACGACAGATTTCCCTATGGTTCCAGAGAAGCCTTGGGTTCTGAACTTGACTTAGTTCTAGGTTTCTCACTTCCTTTTCAGAGCCTGATGACTGAAGCCCATGCAGCTTCCCAGTGTATTGCTAGCTCACCTCCACGTTCACAGACCCGAGTGTGCTCTTGGAGCACAGCCCTTCAGGTCCCTGGCTCTGTGTGTCTCACTGTTTCTCCTCCCGCCCCAACCCCAGATCTCCAACTTGGATGGAAGACTTGTGAATGTTTACTTCCCATTTTCCTAAACCTATAAAGCAAAAGAGACTGAATATGCTTAATAGATTTTGTTTTGTTTTAGAGACAGGGTTTCTCTGTGTAGCCCTGGCTGTCCTGGAACTCACTCTGTAGATCAGGCTGCCCTCAAACTCACAGAGATCCACCTGCCTTTGCCTGTCCAGCTTAATAGAGTTTTAAGATTTATTTTGTGGATTTGAATGTTTTGCCTGCATGTGTATATCTGCACCATGTACGTTCAGTAGCCAGGGTCCGGAAGAAGGCACTGGCTTGATTGAGTCCCTGGAAGGTGGTTGTGACTGATCATGTGAGTGCTATGAACTGAACCTGTGTCATCTGCAAGACCAAAAAGAGCTCTTAACCTCAAAGCTCTCTCCACAGCCTAACATATTATTTTTCATGAATCATTTTGATGGTTTTCAGCAATCATATTCAATAACATGCTGTGTAAGTGTGGAGAATAAAGACAGGAATGAATGTATTCTAAGTGACTTTTTTTTTCTACTGGAGACTAAACAAAATGGTCTAAGAAACAGAGATGTGTAATAAATAAACATATTTTATTAAATTAATGCGATACAATGACAATTAGATGCAAAATAAAATTTCCAGTTATGGTGATACACAACACAAAAGTATAAAGTGCCTTTACAATCCAACACCATGATATGATGTTAAGATTTCAAGTAAAGTGAAAAAATGGAGTGTCTCACTCAACTGTGTTCTTAAACTTCATACAAGCATGACATTGCCATGAGAATCATCCTGTAAACAAACATGTGTTAATAGGTAACAGAAGGGTTCCTTTGGGGGTTCAGATTCACCAGGCTGGCTTGGAACTCTATATAGCCTAGGATGGCCTCAGCTCCCAGAGATCTGCCAGCCTCTGCTTCCTAAGCACTGGGATTAGAGACATGCACCCCCATACCTGGCCCACTTCTTCAGTCTTGACATGTGATAAAACAAAGAAGATTGAAAGAAAGCTCTTGGCTCCTCCTCCCCTCCTCCCCCAAGAAGAACTGATTCTCAAATCCACTGGAAAATGTTATCTCAGAGGCCCCCAGGCTGATGAGAGCCTGCAAGGGCTCACACAAGCTAATGGACTTTTCCTGGTGCAGATCCAGGCTGGCCAGCAGTCCAGGAGCAATGCTGGAATTTCCAGGAGAACCTCTAATTAGCAAGCTGAACATCTGAGTTTGGGAAAAGAAGTAGAGGAGAGACAACCCTGACAACACAGTTCCAGATCTGCGTCCGTCACGGAGTCTCAAATAAGGCTACCCTTTGGTATTGGGTGACTCAGTAGACCCTGGGGACTCATGGTCTCCCTTTGAGCACACACAAAATGCGAGAAACACAAACTCAGTCAGTAAATGTTCTCCAAATGGTATTTTACAGGTACAGACAGCAGACACAGCCTGGCCTAGACAGTGTGGAAATTTACCTGGAGGGATGGGAAGGATCCTTCGTGGATCTTAAAATGGGTTCTAGCAGCTGCATGAGGATTGATATGTTAAATAAAAAGGGCAAAGTGTACAGCAAATGCACAGTGAGCTACCATTTAGGAGTTAAAAAATATAGTTACTTTGACATATATTTCTATATATTAATTGTCTTTAGGGAAATATATGTGCAAAAGCCATTGATTATCACTTGCTTCTAGGAAGGGAGTAGCATGGGAGATGGAATAGAGTTTTGTTTTGTTTGTCTTTGGGACCATTCTGAGTCAGCTCTCTGTTGACATGTATTTGGATAGCATGTGCGTTCATGTGCACGAGGGTGCATGTAGGTATGTGAGTGTGTGGTGTGTAGAGGCATCATTTCTAGGGCTCTATCTACATCATTTTTTGAGACAGCAGCTCTCTTAGGTCCGAAGCTTACCAAGCAGGCTAGGCCAGCTAGCCAATGAGAGCTAGGAATCTGCCTGCCTCTGCCTCCCTGGTGCTGAGATCAAAAACATGCAAGCATATCCAACTGTTTTTTTATGTAGGTTCTGGGGAACAAACTCAGAGTTCCATACTTGTGAGGAAAGTACTTTATAGCTGAGCTATATCTCCATCCCTCAGTATTATCTACATAGAAAAATAAAAAGAGAACTTTTAAACAATACTAGATATTATATGGAGGACATAATATTATATGGCAAAGATAACAAATCAGGGATACATATAGTGCTAGACAAGGAACTCAAGAGTTACTTTCCAGGGTCTTTTAAATATCTATTCCTTGTTAATGAGCATTGTTTGAGTATTGAACATGCATAAGCATATCTACCCAGTACTCTAGCCTACATCTCTATGCTAAGGGCCAGCACAGTACAAAAGGCATGGGTGTGACACACAATGCTACTTAATAAGCTGTTTTTAGAATTCGTTTCTTAGCTACAAATTGTATCCCAAGAGCACAGTGGTTGAAAGGTAGATACCTGATAGCTGTTGTTCCCTGGGCAAGTTACTTAACTGCTCATCTTCTTGGGCTATGAAATGAGTATAATAGAGGTTACCATGAGGGTTGCTATGGAGATGAAATGAAGTTATTGAGTGTAGTACCATATATTTGTGAAGCTGACACTTAAATGGAACTACTGTGGACTACTGCCATAGGGCCTCGAGGACTGAGAATAAAGACTATTCAAGTCAAGCAACAAGAGCCCTATCTACCAATCGCGGGTCCCTCCATGTGTCCTGCTTGTACTAGTAGTTAGAGAAGACACCAAGCACCTCTCAGATGCTTGTGCTTCCCAGGCTATGGACAATGTGATAAGCAGCAATTGAGTTTGCTGACTACATTTTAACATCTATTATGGCTTTAGAATGCATCAGTCACAACTACACTCCCACGACCAGCACACACAGACTCAGAATAAATAGAAAACACTCACACTTCAACACTTGTGACTCTCTGTCTCTCATCCAGGCACTGAGTGGAGGAAAAGGGCACTTCTGCAAGGACCAGATATTAAGATGGGGATTCTCAACCCTCTTTCCCAAGATGACTGATGGACAACTTGCTTATCGGTGTCTCCTGAAGAAATGTCCTTTGTGCCAGGCTTCCCTTCCAACACTTTCTCTCTGATCTCTTCTCTTCCCAGGTTCCATTTTGAGTCCTTGGCCCCATGTCCCAAGGACCCCTTCTTTCACAGACCACAGACTGGCAATCCCACCTTGGCAATCAGAGTCTTCAGCTCTGCTTACGTCTCCTCGAACTGTGTTTCTGGAGAGGGATGATAATATAATGATTTCACGGGGGCAGGGAGTGTGTGGGGAAATGCACAAACATATGCAAGAAAAACAAATTGGGTATTTGCTAGATCACCTAATAATGTTGCAGTAAAACAGAGACAAATTCTATGTCACCTGATGGAAGATGACTAACATGCTTGTTTGTCTGGGACTGCCCTTGCTTTAACATGGAAAGGCTGAGCAAGTTAGGCTGGTCCCTGGGGGTGATTCAACAGCATAAATAGCAATGCACACCAGGGAACCACCTGGGTGTGCACAAGGTCATTAGACCATTTTCATCATCGATTTGGGTTCTAACAATATTAAAATGAATTAGAAAATGTAATATAGCTTATTTAAAATGTAGAGTGTAAGGGGTACTGGTTTTCCGCCTGCCGCCGCCGGTCTGGTCTCACTGCCACGCCGCCAGCCCCAAATAATACACAGAGATTCTGTATTTGATATTATACTGTTGGCCAGGTACTAGTTTCTTATCGGCTAGCTCTGCCTTTAATTATTAACCCATTTCTGCTGATCTATGTATTTCTCTTACTGGGGAGCCGGCAGCATACTGCTTTCTTCAGACTCTCCATCTTGACTCCTCCTTACTACTTCCTATTTCCTCCTTGTCTCCTAGTCCCTCCTATCTTCCTTTCCTATTGGCCAACAGTGCTTTATTATTAACCAGTATGAGAAACATACAGAATGACCTCTCCCATCAGTAGAGCAGTGGGGGGTTTTGTACTCTTATAAATATAGACATTGGTAGCAGAATGAATTGAAGCACATAGGGTAAGAGCAAAAGTCCATGGTAAAGCTGTGTGTTCTCACCCACCTTGTTTTATCTTCTCAGCTTTGCTTTCTCTACTATAAAATGGAAGTGATTCTCATATTTATATGAGCACTTGGGGACAGGGTAAAGAAATGAAATACCATATACCGCACAGGAAACAGATAACAGCCAACCACACTGCAGAATCATTTGTATAGTTACACTTCCATCTAACTCAGCACTGTCCCGGTCGCAGGACTACTGTGCATATAATAGTTGCAGCAGCTGTAACTGCAGCAGCAGCCTAGACAGATGTGCCCACCCCTTCTTGATTCTCCTTGCACAAAGCTGCTGGCCAAGGCCTTTCCTCTGCAGGGCCATCCCAGAATTTCCTCAGCTGAGGGAGTTGTGAGGCCGAGGCTGAGGAGTCAGCAGTGCCCACAAACAGCCTCCTTTGGAACTAGGGGAGGTCATGACTAGTAGATTTCTCTTGTTATAATAGCCTTGTTTTTGTTGTTGTTGTTGTTGTTGTTTGTTTGTTTGTTTGTTTTTCTTGTTTGGTTTTGCTATTTGGTTCAGCCAGCTTGCAACTCATCATCCTCCTGCCTCAGCCTACAGAGCTCTGGAATTGTGGCCCTGCAGCACCAAGCTTGGCTGCTTCGTTCTTCACTTGCCTTCAGTTTGCCCCTCCCTTCTATTAGCTACACTCACCATTTTGGTTTTTTGAGTTTGTATCTTCGGTGCCACATTTTTCCACATCTAGGGTTCTCACTGAAGGAGAAGAAATTGGTCTTTAGTTAAATAGAGCACAACACTACAACCCACAGTCACTCAAGTTTCAATTCAAGGTTTTTATGAGACACTGCTTAATCGCCAGGCTTTTAGTCCACGAACTTCCTTATTCCAGGTCTCAAACCCCAAACAATTTGGGCATGTTCTCTCTCTCTCTCTCTCTCTCTCTCTCTCTCTCTCTCTCTCTCTCTCTCTCTGTCTCTCTCTCCCTTCCTCCCTCCCTCCCCCATTCCTGCCCCTTCCTCCCTCTCTCCCCTCCCTCTCCCCCTCTCGGATTATCTGCTTTGTTGTCCATCTTTCCCTCAGAGATGGCTGACACCCTGAGATACTTTATTTCTACTGAATCTCTGCCATTCTCATTCTCAACCAGTCCTTCCAGATTCTATTTGGCAACATCTACTTCTTGTGCAAGTCTAAGTCTACTCTTAGTCTACATGTGTCACTGAAACTTAATGTTCTGTCCTGGTCACCCTCTCAGTTCTGGTCAGAGCCTGTTCTTTGGAAGCAGCTGACTGCCACCCCGTCAGTTACGTCACTTTATCTATACACTTATCCTCCGGAGGGATGGGTGGGGGGGATTCCTCTCCGAAGATTGGAGTTCCCTTCCATGTTCTACTTCCCTGTTTCACACAAGTCCATCCATCACTGGCTCTCTTGGTATACATCTCAAAGCATTGGGGGAAGTGTTTATTCTAAGTCATCTTACAACAGGAAGACATTATTTGAATGTACTCATTTTCCTAGACTTAAACATTCTTATGGGTAAACACTGAAATAAATATATGAAAATCGTTTGAGACAACATGTCATATTGCCTCCAGAAATATTGCAAAAAAAAATCTTTGTGGTAAAGATACTGGTTTTAGATAGAAATGTTTTCCAACTTAGGGTACCCAGAATCTAGTTCCGCAGGATGTTTCACGGAATGCCTTGAATTCAACTGAAACCAACAGGCACCAAGGCTTCTCTTCAAAGTCTGTGGCCATTTGCATGTAAAAAAAGAAACCTTAGGGCGATCTTCCTCAGCCTCCACTGCTGCCCATCCTACACCTCACCTCTGCACTACACACAGCAATGCTGCCCAGCCTTACTGGGAACTACTCAACATTGGACTCCTCAGTGCTATCTTGAGATCTAAGTCTTTCAGCTTCTCTAAGCCCTTGCCCAACTCATACCTTCCAAAATGCAACCTGGCTCAATGCCACAGTCCCAGATAGAAGATGCTACAAAATAGCAACACGAGCAGGACTGAAGGAAGACTTAGCACACTGGCTCACCTGAGTCACAGCTCACACTTAATTTCAATAACTGAAAGTGAGCAAGCCCTAAAAGTAAAAGGCAACACCCTCAAGGTCAAGTGTTTCCCAGTGATGCTCTGCTAGCCTTTTGGGTCAGGCAGTTCCCTGTGATGTGGGGCTGCCCTTATCAAGTCAGGGTGGGTACCATCTCTGGAACTGCTCATTATCATAGCCAGAAGACATTCATGTACTTCTCCACAGGCAACACAGAAAGTACTGCAATGAAGGAAATACCTTGTTTTCTTATGCAGAAGACGACTATGGATGCTACAAGAAACAACAGTAGTGATCCCAGAAGTACCCAATGAGTCCTCTTATTTGGGAGAAATTCTGCAGGTGGTTCTGAAAAACAAAAGAAAGAGATGCTGACTAAAGATCAAGTTATGATGGGAAATAGGAGAATGATCATTCTTGAAATCTACTTTGGCTTTAGGATAATCTTAATTACTAAAAGTTAATGGCCAGTTAAGGTCTAGAAGGTCTCCAGCCCTGCACACATGAAGGAGACTGAATTATACTGCCGTGGATTGGCTTTGACACCTCTGAAGTCCTTTATCCAGCCTATAAAATAGAAATGCTAGGAATTTCTTGTGAGGCTGTCTGTGACATCCTAAGCATAGTGCCACAGAAAGTGACTGCGATATTAAATGGTGACCTTGATGAAGTAAATTCCTTGTACACTCTTTAATATTAATGATAACAGCTAACATAGCATGGAAGGCCCACTCTAGAAGATGGGGGACTACCAGGCACTGTTAAACATCTTTGGCTCTTTGGCCCCCCACATCTGTCATCATGATCAGGGACCAATGCCTGTTTTTCTTCTCCCGTGTTTGAAACTCTCTGGACATTCTAGTTAGTCATTGGCTTCTCCTGCCAGTTTCTCTGTCTGAAATCTTGTGAAAGATGGGTCCCATGGCATGAGGATGCTTTGGGATTGCCAACTCCCATCTCTTGTCATAAGTCAGTTCCTATTTGGCCCCACTATGAATCAACTGAGATATACAATACTGAACTACACAGTTTATAAAACCTGCTCATATATATTTTATTTGAGTTTCAAAGTATCTTATGTTAGACCTACTAAGTATTTCTTAGAAAACAAACACAAGTTACAGACAAGAAGACAGAGTGCCTAAGTTACTCTAGGATGCCCCACAAATAAGCAGCTTTTTGTTGTTATATTATGGTGATGTTTGTTTGTTTGTTTTCTTTTTGAGGCAGAATCTCTTGTAATTCATGTTGACCTTGAACTTGCCATGCAGCTGAGGATGACCTCGAACTTCTGATCCTCTTGATTCCGCCACCCAAGTGTTTGGATTACAGGTGAGCCCTACATCACCAGGCTTATCTGGTGCTGGGTACCAGCTCTTTCTGAATGTTAGGCAAGTACTCTCCCAACTGAGCTACATCTCCAACCTTGTGAAGCAGCATATAATGGCAGGGTCCTAGTAATGCAGGTTTTATGAGAGTCCAATTCCAGTTACAATGTCTTCCTTGATTTCTAAACCTGTCTGCTCTCTCTGGTTCCAGTCCACTCTGGGCTGAATTTTCATACTAGTTGACTTTTCTCTGTAGCTTTATTTATTTTCTCTAAAATTCTTAGAGCACTACTATCAATGTACATTGGGGGATAAATGGGGGAAGAAGTAACTCTCCTCAGAATACCTCTGGATTTATGTCCTCATAATGCTCTGAGCCTGACTGTCCCTATCCCACCTATTTCTGTAAGCTAACAAATTTACAAAACAGCTGAACGTATACAGTCAAAGATCTCAAATAATTTGCACACACTACAGCTCATTTGATCCCTACAGTAGTCTTGCCTGTAGGGAAAGTGAACTACACAGAAACCTAATAGGTTGCTAAGAGACATGAGCCTCATCTTCTATACCCAAGGCAGTTCTAGGAGTTGAAACATCAGAGAATGCCTCAAAGAGGGATTCGGGGGCAATAGATCTTTCATATTGAGAATAAGAAAAAAGGACAATGCATCTGTCCCCTACTGGGAGAAGACAGCAGCTTCTATGTGATAATGGTTTCAATTCCTGAAGCATCAGATGAGTTCTTCTCTACGGTGCCCTGGCTAAAAGACTGTTTCCTACATCGCAACTATCCCCTGTTGTGTTGGAGCACAGTGACTGTCCTATTCATCTATGAATACTCAATGCTTCACATACAGTTTGTCATGGTTGAATACTCAGTAAATACTTGTTGAATGTTTATTAAGTAGCATTATGGCTTGCATGCAAGAAAATAGCATACATTTAGTAAACATAAGTATTGTTTATTCACGTACTCAGCCAGCTACCACTGAAAGACTATGATGGAGAGCTGTCATGCTAGGGGACAAGGGACAGAGTTAGTCAGTTTACCTGGGATGATCAACTCAGCTGTGTGGTTTTCCCCCGAATGTAATCTCCAAAAAGTACAGTAGAAAACATCATTAGCTGTCGCATTGATCCTCAGAGTGCTGGTCACATTGAAAAGCTTCTCCTTTGTTTGGGAAGTGGTGACAGTAGTATTGCCACTCAGGGATTGTTTGCCACTGTTTGTCCAGATGACTTTAGCTTCTGGGTAGCCCTCAGCCTGACACGTTAGTTCATGCTCTGATGTGGTTGGATCCATGGAAATTCTGTGGTTGATTTTTCGGTACGGGGCTAGGTCATAATAAGCAAAAAGAGGTCAGGACCCTCTCTCATCGCAGGTGTTACAAAGAGTATCAACTTGGGCCAGTTCTTGGAGAACTATGTCTCCAGCTCAGGTATTCTGGTAGCAGGGGATGCATGCTAGTCTTCTGCTTAAATCTAGGCCAAGTTTGGGCTTAAGGAACAAACACATTGCTGTAATAACCACATTGATGTGTTTATTGGGCTCAAACTAAATGTGTCAACTAAATAAAGTAAATTATCATCTTGAAACCAAAGGTCTTTCTAAATATAAACTGTATCTATCTAGTCAATAATCATTGGCCTACTCACAATGTTTAGCGACCTACTTACAGCCTAGAAGAGAGATTTTGTTCCCTACTCCATAGCTAAAGATATAAGAGCTTCACATAATATGATATTTTCACAAAAATTTGTCACAGAGCAACTAGGATAAAGCAAAGCTGAAATAATGACATGGAGTTTTGTTGCTCTTGAATCGAGAAAATGACCATCCATATATTAGATATAATTATGATTTCAAAACACAAAAGTAATGGGCTTTTATGAGCACTTGAGCCCTCGGTCTTGTATACATCATATTTAAGGACAATTAAAAATGAAACCACCTATTATGCCTTATTGAATAGGCATAATGACTCATGAAATAACGTCACCACAATAGGGTCTATCCCACATTACACATGACTTAGTTTTTCTGGGAAATTAAAGGTTTAAATTTAAAATCCCTGTCAATGGTAAAACGTTTGGAATGAAATATTTGCATGCTATTATCATTTCTCCTGGGAGTTAACTGAAGGAGAACAGCACTTCATTTAGAAGAATGTGGTGAAGTAATGGGCAGATTCATCCATAAATGATTCAACTTCACAACTTTCGACTCTGAGATGGGCACATGTGTGAAGACGCTGCAAGAAAACATGAAAACTTCTACTTACAAGCTTGCTATGGTACCTGTTAAATTATTTATGCCTCACAAATGTTGACGGCAGTCACTGTACCTTACTGTCTGCCACAGGAAGAGGGGAGGGTTTTGATTTATATTTAGGTTACTGTCGATTTTTCAAATTCTCCTGTCTATTTTTTTTTTTTTTTTTTTTGAGAAAGAGTTTCATGCAGACCAGGCTAGCCTTGAACTTGCTATGTAGCCAAAGATGATGTGCCTCTACCTCCTGAGTGCTGGAATTACAGGCAAGTATGTGCTACCACACACTGGTTTCAACCCAAAACTTCACGAATGGCAGGCAAGCACCCTATCAGCTTAGCTACAGACCCATCCCCCTTGTCTACTTTTAACTGAACTAACTTATTTTTTTTTTAAATGAGCTCATTCAAAAGTCTCTTTGCAGAAACAAATGCTTGAAGATAAGGCTAACATTTCAACACAAAGCAAAACAACCACTTTCTGAAGTTAAAAACAAACACTGAGTTAGATAGGATAAAGTACTGACTGAAATAAGATTATTGAGACCATCTACATTTGTTAATGAGGAGTTTCGTCATAACATAACCTGATGCCACAATTGGCAAGACACTACAAATATTGTTTATTCCATTTATTTCACCTTTTGGATGTCTATTTGTGTCCATTTCAAGAATGCATCCTGTATTTAGGTTGAACCAACTGTATGAAATCAGTAACAGTTATCTTCTTTAGACCTTCAAAATGACAATTGCTTACCATATAAGCTATGCAAGTTTATTCTTTATAATCACATACAAGCTTATATAATGCTTTACTGAAAGGGTAAACAAGCAAATTTTGTTTTGAAACCTCTGGTTTAAATCTAGAACACTCTGCTATCTAGTTAGGTAATCAAAGCAACTATAAGTTCAAGTTAGTTTTGAAGCTGTTACAAGCTTGATGCACACACCCCACCCCAAGTACAAAGATGGGCAACAAAACACAGTAAGGGCATAGATTTTAGAAACAGGTTAGTTAAGTTTAGAACCTGGCCTTATCATTTTGTCTGGGTAGACTTTGGACAAACTGCATTATTTCTTTGGATCTCAACTTTTAAAACCTTAAAATGGGAAGAATAATGCTACATAACATTGAGTCTAAGATGCCAAGATACCATCTATTGAAAGATACATTCCAATTTGAAAGATAGTAAGTAGGAAAACATAGCATGGCCAGGATCAAGTGCTTCCCCGACAGAGGCATGTTAAAGATGAAATGAATTCATATAAGCAAAGAGCCCAGTGCATGGCCTAACACGGATCAGGAGTTGCGTAAGTGTCAACTATAACAATGCTCCTGCTGTCACCCATCAGATTAGGAGAGACCATGAGCATGGCTGTTTCTCCCCTTCTCATCACTACTTCAGTGGGTCTTAATAAAGTTCTCATAACTTATGACAGTCTGGGAAATAAATTTTCCCACATTCAAACCTGCTCATATAGCAAATATTTTAAGTTAATCGTTTTTGAAACAACCATTCCTCCCTTTAACAAATATTTTCTTTTCTTATTGCACTGAAACATCATTAAATGCCAAGGCTTAGGGTTACAACAATGAATAAAACAGACCCAAAGCTCTGACCCTGTAGTTTGTGTTCAAGAAGGAACAAGAAAATAAACATTCTGAGGCATATTACGTAGGAATGGATGACACAGGAAAGATTTAAGCAGGGCCTGAGGATCTGCTGAGCCATGACAATCCTTAATCATTGATCCATATGATTAAGGTGTTTCCTACAGTGGCTTAATGTCATTTAAGGTCCCAGAAATATTAAATGGACATTTCAATTTTTTTCCCTGACATTCAGTTCAATCATTAAAGCTAAAGATTTCAATTGAAAGCCAGATGCCTGAGGGTCTTCTGAAGGTTTTTGAAAGTATAATAGCACCCAAAGAGATAATGATAATTGAGTTAATACAAAACTACACCCTTCTAGATTTCAGTTTTGAAATGCTTCACCTTTAAAATCCCATGGTGGGTTAACTCCCTCCTGGGAAGCTGTATTACCACACACTTACAGATGGGAAGAGAAGAGGGCAGCATTACTGTGAAATGATTTGCATAGGAGATGACTCAGGAGCTCTACTTCCTTTGCATGCAAAGTTCCTACGTGCCAGCCACCAACATGCTAGGGATCAGACCCACGGTCTTACACATGGGCAAGTATTCTACCACTGAGCTATGTCCTCAGTCTGGTTCCCTTATTTATTTATTTACTTATTCATGTAGAGAAAGGCTCTTGCTAAGTTGCCCAGGCTGCCCTTGCCCTTGAACGTACTCTATACATATAGAGCCCAGACAAGACCCAAATCTGTGATTCTTCTGTCTCAGCCTCCCAAATAGTGGGGATTACAGATTTGAGCCACAACACATGTCAAAACCAAGGTTCGAATTCTTGGTCTAGCTCAGCTAAGCTCCAAAAGCACTGACTGCAGGCAAATGACAAGGTAAATAGGAAGTAGAACGCCAATGTCTAAAAGAAAATGCAATAGTCAAACAAGACCTTCAAGTTCTCAGCTTTGCCCCATTAGACCCTCCATGGAGAGGCCACAGCTCCAGAAGCATGCCTTTTGCATCAGAAATATTATTGAGCAGGTAATCTAGAATACATGCTTCCTCACCACAAAATCAGCTACTCACAACAAGCCAGGAGAGACCTCTGGACACAGACTTAAACTCTATGCTTTCTTCTTCATGACTGCTGGGGCTGTTCTTTCCCCCTACCCCAGGTTCAGCAACCTTGACTGTTCATGGCCTTCAGGCTTCATGATTCCTTTAAATGTCTTAGAACAAAATAGATACCTCATATTTGATGATGTACTAACACATGCTCAAGATATGGACAACCACATCCCTTCTTTCATGAATGTCACAAATGAAAAATTGTAAGTAAGAGACAATGACTAAAAGACAAGTGATATTTTCATAAAAATGGTAGCTTTAAGTGATCCATCATCAGAGACCCACTAATATTCCATCAAATGGACACAGTTTTCCTATCTCTACGTAATTTTTAGGTAATCGTTATCTTGATCCCTTAATGAGAAATGTGAAGTTTCCTTACTTATATTGATCTCCACACTAGCTTAGGAATAAAAAGATCAAAGGAGACCATCTAATTCTGGTCAAATATTTAAAAACTTATTATGAAAACGAAAAGAAGCAGGCAGATCCTCTCAAATTTAAGCCTGGAGAAGACAGAACTCAACTCACTATCAATCAGGGAGAAGTTTCAGCGGGTCACAGGAGGGAGTTCCAAATTGGAGGGATGACACTTTGGGAAGTATATGAAGCAAGGAGCCGTGGGGGATTTCTGGTCCTAGTGGGCATTTGGATTGTCTGTGTGCATGCCTAGGATGGGCGCTGCTCTCAATTCTATGAAACCCAACAGTGAAAGCAGAGGTGGTTAGTAAGGTATTTCCCTTCCCTTCTCTTAGCTAGTTCCAGCCCCAAACCTTGAACTCAAGTGACCCGATGACATTTTATTTTTATTTATTTATTTATTTATTTTATTTTTTTTTGTGGTCATTATCCAGGAACTTACACTAGTAGTTCCTCCTCAGCACTCCCAAGTAACACTAATACAAGCCCTGGAGACAAATGTGTAGCTTGTACCATTTCTGAGAAAGAATGGCTTCTTCTATGCTTAACAACATCATTTCTCATCCTTTATAGACCAACCTTGTCTTTTTGAATGTGAACCTTACAGTAGGCTGTATATATGGGGTACGTATTTATGTATGTATGCACATATGCACATATGTATGGAGATACTCAGAGAAAGGAAAATGCACTAAGTAAGCCTGATAGAGTTTAAGAAATATCCAATAAAGGTTCTGGAGGGTTATGCAAATAGTACATGCATGCCATGGATGATAGTGCTGAAGAGAGGAGGTGCATTTTCATGATTCCTTTCCGTGATATCTGAATCATATGTGTAAACATATATATTACATTTATGATAATAAGAAGCAAACAACTGACATCTAATCTTTGAAATATTACAGAACTGGAGAGCATGGTTGTGCTGGTACTAGATCTCAAATTACTGTCAAACACAGGTGCTAGGATTATTCACTGGTGGAATGTATGAATGAATGAATGAATTAACGAACGAACGAATAGGCTGTTGTTTTTCTGTGAAAAGTAGGTGTGGAATTCCAACAATGAAAAGCTCTCAACCCTACAGAGATGTCTTAAATACAGGTCAAGGCTTCCTTATCGGGAGGAATTCTTACCGTTGACTTTCAGTGTGATTCGCTTGTAGTCTGCACCTCCATAGCCGATCATGCAACAGTAAACACCCGCGTCCTGCAGTTTCACGTTTGTGATCTGAAGCCCAGCATTTCCCTTTAAAAGCTGTTCCTTTGGCAACCAGGCTCTCCCCCTGAAGCTACTGTGTTGATGTGTCAGGTCTGCCTTTCCATCTACAAACTGAATAACTTGGTTGTCGTTCTTTTCCCAGTAGACAACTAACGAAAGCAGGTCCAGCTGGCCTTCTACTGGGAATCTGCATTCAATCGTGACATTACTGCCATACTCTACCTCATACAGGTCCTTGGGAGCCGTGATGGTAAATGCTGAAAAGAAAGAAGACCAGCCTTCAGAAAATGGAGAAGTCCTCCAAGCACATTTGAAAAATGGGTAAAAGGTTACAATCACTTTATCTGGTGAATCACATGAACACTAAAATTCTTCTTAAAAATATCTTCATTGGGAAGATATACAAGCAACTTAGCTTAGTCCCAGTCTTGTTTAAAAGAAGCCAATAAAGAAAAGTATAACAGTGGGCCATTGCTCCAGGAATTTCTGGTAGTTATTCATGGGAAATGGATAATATTTTTGTTTTGTATTACCTGTATTTTTAGGCTCACCCCATCCCTGTCTTTTGTTTTGTTTTGTTTTGTTTGCTTTTGTTTGTTTCTAGTGCTGGGATATTGAGCCCAGAGCTTTGCTCATGCCAGGCAAATGTTCCAATACTAAATTATCCCTATAGCTTCTGTATTTTCCTTCATCTTTTACAATGGTACAAGTAACTTGTTTATGAAGAAGGAAAGCTAAAGTGTGCTTTTAACAAACAAAGCACACTTCTTCAAATTATTGCAGGGGCTTGGGTGATTGCCCAGTAAGTAAACTACTTGCTGTGTGATGGGAGAACCCAAGTTCAAATCCCAGAACTATGTAAAAACCAGCTACAGTAGCATGTGCCTGAGATCTCAATCTCAGTTCTCCTACAGTGGGATGGGGGGAAGTGACAGCAGAATCTCCAGAAAGTGTGGGGCCAGCTGCCTGCCGTACTCAACAATGAAAACAAGAGAACTTAGTTCAAACAATCTAGAAGGTGAGGACCAGCACTCAAGGTTGTTCTTTGATCTCCACATGTGTGCTTACTAAATGCATGGGTTGAGTGCCCATGAGCACACACGTGCACACACACACACTTCATATGCATACACACATATTACTTCAATTTTTAACTCATGGTAAAATATTGAAAACACAGATCCCGCTGACTTACCATTTAGCAAGTGACAGCAGACTGTGAAGATGATAACAATGGCAAACATTGCCATTTTTTTTTTCAGTTATCTAGTAATGAGAAACACAAAAAGAGAGCTGCTTGATTCAAATAGCCGAACAATTTGATCCCAGTAGAAGATTTGTCCTCTTATATAAATAACTCCTAAGAGCCAGTAAGGAATGCACAGACAAGCAACTGTGGCGGTTCTGATTTGTAAGTGTGGAAATACACCTGCAAAGTTGAAAGGTCAATACTTTCATTTTGTAACCCAAGGTTATACAGAACCAAGTGAAAAGAAATTAGTATGGTGAGATGAACATCTTTATATTGAATTATAAGCCCTCCCCGGTCGATAATGGACATTCAAAATAAGCCAAGGTAAAAATACCTTCCCAACTCCTTCAGCTGCACCATACGCTTTTCAACATCAACAACTATCTGTAAAACCTGCCTTAGACAAAGCTTCACAGTAAAGAAAATCTGATTTTCACTTTCATTTTTCAATGCTTCCTCCCCCTTAAAATCTCCCCTCTGCCTCTCTAGCACTCCAAATTATAATTCTTTTCCCCAATAAAGAGAGTAAGTACACTAATAACCAAAGTGGGAAGAGAGAAGAATTTGATTTGGCCCATTTACTAAGGTCTGGGTACCTGAGGACCACTCTCTGAGATGTAGCTGTCTAGTTTTCATTCTGCTGACATTTTCACAACTCAGTAAACACTGAATATCTCTCCTTGAGTCTGACACTGTCTGGGGTACTGAGGAGCAGTGAGCAGGAAACAGAAGCCATTCTGCTTTGGAACTGATGTCCAAAGAGGTTGGTACTACACCCCAGCCAGTCCATTAACATTTCCCCTCTCCTATGTTATTCACATTTACAAGCTTCATAGGAAATTCAGTTTTCCCTGCTAGCATCTCCCTGACTGTACACAATCCATATGACAGGCATATAAAGCAGGAGACTAGGGCTGTTGGCATTCACTCTTTAAGACTCAGTAAGTCTTAAAGGCTAAGAGGAAAATGAACAAGAGTCCCACATAGTTCAGAGAATAATAAATACAAATGTAGGAAAGGATGCTCTTTCTAAGAATGTATATTGAAGGCTTATGATAACGTTTTTGACCTTTTGCTCTACCAAAAGCATAGCTTTCTCATAGTTAATGAAATACAGGCAGACAGTATTTCTTGACTTTCATTGGTAAGAATGTGAAATTGTATAGCTTTTAAAAGATCAACTTGGTAACTCTGTTAAAACTTTAGCTGTGCTCTTTACTCCAGACTTAGAAATTCACCATAGGGGGGAAAATAAACACAAATATAACAGGGATGACATGGCCAACAACAGCCCCAGATTTGAAACACCCAATGTAGACTAATGGCAAAATAAAACTGTATATATTCAAAATACCACGAGGGGACAGAACTTAGTACATGCATAGGGAATGAGTTTGCGAAGATATAAGAAGGAACTTGGAAGGCAGTGTAGTGTACAAATATACAACCCTGACCATGATTATCTGTGGTGAAATGGGACTTTTGCAGGAACCACAGGGAACTTCTCACCCGTTTATACTTTTTCAAAGGAAGAAAAAAGATAGAAGAGGAGAGGTGGAATCATGAATGGTTTCTTCCTTTTTCATGTGTGCACCCAATTTTTAAATGAGTGAATAAACAAACGTTTTGCCTTTATTATTGCTCTCACCTATTAAACTTCTGAGTATTTGGCAGATGAAGTGATTTCATGGGAAGGCCTCTAGAAGTGGAGTCTAGACATCTTCGCTGAGGTTGAATGACCACATTACTTTATTTTTATGTTTTGTTGATATATATATATATCCTAATGTAAGTGCATAACATACACTTTCCTTCAGGAAGCATTCGGTAATATTGGCTAACATATTTGGTTGCCAAAGTTTGCTTGGTTAGGAGGAGAGCTGCTACTGATTTGATAAAAACAGAGGCTCGAATGCTGCCAAGGCCTCTCCCAAGGCATAGGACAGCACCTGATGGCAGAGACAAAGACGGTCCACAGTGCCACTCATGTTAAGATGGAGAGACGGTGGCCACTCTGATCATGTCTGTAAATAGTTTCCTTTCAACCTTTTTCCTATAAAGAGACAGTTTTCCTCTTCGTGTTTAAGTTTTATTTCATGTGTAAGAGTGTTTTGCCTGCTTGTACGTATGTGTGCCACTTGTGTGCCTGGTGGCACAGAGGCCAAGAAAGGACACCAGATTCCCTGAAGTGGAAGTCACAGATGGCTGCGGGTCCTCCCGTTAAAGCAGAAAATACTTTAAACCCCCGAGTCATCTCTCTAGCCCAATTTCTTCAATATGTTTAATATCCACTTTTAAAGCTTATGATTATGACATAATGTCCATAAGTCTTGTACCTAATGGGCCTTTTAATATTTAACTCCTTTATTGCTAGGTTTTAGGGGTAAGTTTTGCCCTTTTTTTCAAAATCATAAGTATTTGTGTATTTAGCCATTGTTTGGTGATTATCTAATGTGTGCCAGGTCCAAGGTTAGGCCTGGAAGATAGAATTTCATAAAGCGAATTGCTGATCAAGGAAGAAAAAGTATTTTACCAATTTGTGACATGTTGTGAAAATTGGTACCATTGCATTTTCAGCCAGTGCTGACATTTTAAAACTTTTTTCTAATTCAATTCTTGAAAAATGCAATTTGAATTTTTTTGAGGAAACATTTAGTTCTTGATAATTATCTAAGTAAGTTATTTTGCTGTTGAGGTCATGGGCTTCTTATTGACTATAATGAACTCTTGATATTAGAAAAGGGCAGATCTAACAGCATCTGAGAGGCTGCGGTAGGAGGATCTCGAGTTTGAAGTCAGCCTGGGCTACACAGTGAGACACTATCTTTAAAAAAACAAAACAAAACAAAACACACATTAATCAAAAGAGCCAAGGAAAATGGCTCATTATCCTCTTGCTAATATTAGACACATATTTAAAATCTTGCTTTCCAGTCATCTGCCCAAGGAGATGGATGAGATGTGATGACATCCAGGCCCGTTAGGATGTGAGGGCATGGGAGTTGTGGCATTGAGGTTGTAGGAGAAATGGCCATGCCAAGTACTGGAGAGTCACACCAAGCTACCTATCTGATGTCCGTTGAAGGACCACAGAGCTATGCCTGCTTTTGTCAGTATCGACGGTAGACTCGGTTGGAACACTTATCCAATATTTATGAGTCTGCTTTAAAAGCTTAGTATGAGGGGCTGGAGAGATGGCTCATCAGTTAAGAGCATTGGTTGCTCTTCCTGAGTTCAATTCCCAGCAACCATATGGTGGCTCACAACCACCTGTAGGGAGATCTGGTGCCCTCTTCTGGCCTGCAAGCATACAGCAGATGGAACACTATACATGATAAATAAACTAAAAAAATAAAACAAACCAAAAACCAAAAACCAAAAAACCCTTAGTATGATAAAGCCTTACTGAAAGGCTATGGACTAGGTCTGATATTCACCTTATTCAGGATTGTACCCTCTCCTCCCTGGCCCTCAGAGTGCAGCTCTCCTGTGAGTGTGAAAGAGAGGAAGTCCAGGGGCTGTGTCTGTGACCGCTGCACCTGCTCGGCTTAGTGGCTCTAACAGCACAGGATCGTCTTCCTCTGACAGGAACTGTAACTTTTTATGAATTTCCAGCCCAGAGAGAGCAACAGAGTACAACTGGGGAGAAGTGACAGCTCCTTCAAGATGGGGAAATAGGTTTGTCCCCTGGGGAAGTCCAGAAGAACATCATGGAACACCATTTCTCTATCTCCCCACGAGGGCAGGCGGGGAGCAGATGCAAGCTTCCTTTCTCAAAAGTAAGAGGGAGGATTTACCACATTTTCAAATCCTATTAAATGACCCTAAAACTTGGGTCCAAATCCCTCCCTTCTTGGTCCCACCTTAAAGCCTGTAACTATCTACGCTGTCCAGTGGGAAAAGGCTAATAATATTTTGAAAGTAGAAAGTTCTCCTTAAATATTGCCTGTCTCAGTCATTGTCAGCTGCATACACTTTCTGGAATGAATCTTCAGGGGTTTTTGTTTTGTTTTTCATACAAAGGTCTTTCAGATACCCAGACATAACTATGTAGCTATAAGAGTTATCTGAAGGAAATGCCCAAGCCATGCTCCAGGCAGTTGCATATGGTATAATCAGCGAACGACTGAGCTAGTAACCTGCTAAAAATAACCTGTGCACCCATCAGTGGGAGAGTGATGCCCTTTAATTATCCAGCACAAGAGCATACAGCAATAAAAAATAAAATAAAATAATAATAATAATAATAGTTATAAACTCTGGCTACCTAATTCTTAGGAAAACATAGCAATTATTTATTCAGAATAAAAATAAGTAAGATTGAATACCGTACTTTACTTTCTTAGGACAACCCCAAGCTAAACTGACATAGCCAAGGTCAATGTGTCTAAGAAATGTCTTGGCATTATGTTGAATTCTTCCTGATTGTCTTCCAGGACTCCTTTAGGTCCTCAGGACAGAGTAAAAAAAAAAAAAAAATCTCAGGCTATAGCACAGCGCCCTGTATCTTGGCAAAGGAAGGGACCTCAGGAGATGCTTCAAGTGAGACAACTTACCCAGTCATCGCTAGTTAATAAAGTCGCACTAGGACTCATTCTTCTGACCCAGCTGCCTACCCCAAGCCCGTATTCATAAACACACAGTCGCACACACAAGTGACATTAACGCTAACAGTGCCTTATCTGCCGATTCTGAGGTCTTAACTGTGCCCGGCAGCCGGCTCTGCTGCCTATTAACCCATCCTATTTCCTTGTTGCCTTTTCCTCTCTCCATCCTCAAGGGTCTCTGACTCCGGCTCTAACTTGCCCTGCAAGCCGCCGGCCCAGGAACTCCGCGAGAAGACGCTCCCTACCTGTAGGCGGGGAGACTGGCGGCGACACGAAGGTGCAGCCTGGCTTGTGGCAGGAGGCCAGCCAGTCCCCGAGCTTTATAGCCGAGGACCGCCCTCTTGTGTGGAAACCCTGCCCACCTCCGCTCTAAAACCAAATGGGAATTGCCAGTCCCATCGGATTTTGTGCTCAAAGTTGGGCTATTATACTGAATTTATAGGAGAACAAATCTGGGGGTCCGGCGTGGTGACGCACCCCTTTAATCCCAAGACTCCGGAGACGGAGGCAGGTGTATCTATGCATTGGAGGTCAGCCTGATCTTCATAGTGAGCTCCAGAACAACCAGGGCTACATACAGTAGCGAGACCTTGTGGTGAAAAAGAAAAGCAAACAACACACTATTTTTTTTTTTCAAATACGAAACTAAAAGTAAAAGTGAAACTTGAATTAGCTTTCTTGTAAATCAGGTTTTTAAAAAGAACCAGAGCTGTCATTTGGGTGGAGTGGGGGGGTGGGGTGGGAGGAGGGTGTCTGTGAAGGTCAGAGGTCCACATCGATTGTCTTCCCACCTTGTTTTTTGAGAGAGGGTCTCTGACCCAACTTCGAGTTTGCAGCTGGCTAGACAAACCCTCAAGTGTGTTCCACTGGCCCGGCCCGCCCTCAGTCCTCGCCCTTCCTCCTCCTTCCCCTCCCCTAGCCCCTTTCAGTCTCAGATAGGGACTTTCACTGCTTTTTTCATGGGTACTGGGAACCCAAATTTAAATCTTCCGTTTTTGAGCAGTAAATGCTTTAAAAACCAAACATCTCGAGTCATAAGATCTCAGACTTCAATTTTCTCTTCAGAATCCAGACACCTTAATAAAATACTGTCCGATCCCTCACCTCTTTCAAGCCCTTTCTGGATGCGTGATCCTCTTGATGTAACTTTACAATATAGAGTTATACAACATAAAGAGTTAACAACAGACAAACGACTTGAGTTTTAATTCTAGAAAGTAGGTGTGTCTCTATAATAGGAAACATAGTTTTAAGCCGTGGATTTGGTCACTTCCTCAAAGTTCCTCGACATAATGAAACTTCAGTTGCCTTGCCATTCAAAAACTTCCCGTCTCAAACCATGCCCTTTCTGAATGCCCTTTCTGAATGCTGTGCACCTACTACACTCACTCTCAGGATCCAGGTGGGGGAAGTCTATTCTAGATGAACTTGAGAAAGCCCTTCTGGGAATTGGAAATGTGGGCTTTTTCCAAGATGAAGCCAAGGGAACTCCATAGAGCACTGTGATGTCATTTAAGCATCTCAGTGTTAGACCTCAAGGACCTTCTTCATTCTTTGCTTTTCCATTTATTCACCACACTACAATTCTAAAGTAGTGTACTGAGTGAATACTGGGGCTCCCGCTGGCTTGGATGTAACAGAATTTTCATATTCTCAGAGCATCTCTATTCTTTGAAGACCTTGGAGATGATACTGCATTAAGGAGCTATAGAGAATGTGGGACTCTCAATAGCATCAATAAAATTGGAATAGACTTTGAAGCCTCGGCTGAACTGTCCCCTCTTCCAAATGCCTTTTGAACCCTATTTCCCAACTTTAGTGGATGACTGAAAATAAAACATAAATATTATATGTAGGCATCTAATTTAAACATATGTGTGTGTGTGTGTAAGCATACACAGACAAACACATTTCTAGTTAATAGTTCTTTTCTCTAAAAACAATAGCTAAGTCCCAGGAAATATTTATGATATGTTAGTGTGGTCATATAAAAATTCACATCTATAAAAATTCAGTCTAGAGACTCACTGTTTAGCTGAGTTCTCTTGGTTAAATAACAATGTGAGCAGTGCGGATTAAATCATAGTCCCTTAGTAGTTCCTATGATGTGAATTATTTTTAGAACTAGAAGGGGCAGGTGCTTTGTTTTACAAAAGTAATGCTTAAAGTCTACATGAAGGCCAACAGCGAAGGTAACTAACTGAAACCGGTCCTCCCAGAAGCTGTCCCTGGGGAATGAAGGCCTGCTCTCAGTCTGCTGCTTGAACTGATTTGCATATGAGTAATCTCCACCTGTTCCTACACCTCAGACTTCTATTTTCCCATGAAGGCAATCATGCTCCTTAATGAATTCGGTGCCCTCCAGAAGTAGAAGGATGTGACTTTATTTATTTATTTTTTAATATCAACTCAGAATATGCTGCGTAGCCAAAGTAGCCCAAGTAAGGAAAAAATAGCCCTGAAAATGGTTTGAGTTTTGTGATTTGGACAATGAATAGAGAAACATTCAGACAAGGGTAAAACAGTGGCTTGCCAAGGCTGAATGGTGGCACACATTGGCCATCTCTAACTCTAACACCACCATTTCCTGTTCATATCCTGTTCATTTCGGGGATATTAGTTGATGGTGAAGACTAACCATCTCCATGGTAAGGAAATACACAAAGTGAATTCTGGAGAGAACCACGGATGATCTGCTGGAGGTCAACAGAGGGCAGAACCGGTGTGAACTGTGAAGGTGTTCTCTTGGAGAGAACACCATTGTAGCTGGAGTCCATAGTGAAAGGCTGTCTCTCCTCATTTCATGAAGGGCCTTCAGGGTTAAGGAGAAAGGTTGGATTTTAATTGTAATGCACATCCATTGGCTGGCTTTGGGCAGAGGAACCATCTGATAGTGTTCTACAGAGAGCACTCAAGCCAGCTGAAGAAGGCAGGTTGAGGAGCCTGTGTTCAAGGAAGCCCAGACCTTCTTGAGGAGATGCTGTTCTAGGTCAGTTCAATTCCAGCACTACTGGTGGAGAAGTAAAGTCACATCCCACAAGTCAAGGGTGAAGCCCCACAGGATGGATCTCATGGCAGACGCCAATCTTAAATCTAGGCCTCTAGAACTTCTGAGGGACTGTCGACAGATTAGGATTCCCATGACTCCCTCTGGTTTGTTAGAGTAACCCACAAACTGGGAGAAACGGTTTACCTATGTGAACCAGTTTGTTGAAAGGACATTACAACAGATGAAAGTATACACAGGGTAAAGTATGGTCTGGTGGGGGCAAGGGGGAGTTCTGTGCTTCTCTTTGGGTTCACTACCCTCCAGGGCCCTCCAGATGTACTGCAGCCCAGCTGCTTGAACCTCTGGCTCAGAAAATTGTCATAGAGATTGCATCAACAATCAGTTCACTGTATCGTGAATTCTCTTTAGTCTTAAAAATAAAAACCTGGAGTTACTTATCAGGAGGTGAAAGCCGAAGGATCAGAGAAGCAGAGTGGTTAGCCACTAGAGGGTCTACTAATGCTCAGACCAAAGGGTCCATCCTTTCCTACAAATCCTCAGACTGCCCTCTCAGACTGAATCCTCAGACTGCACTGAGCTCCTTTCTCCTCCAGCCTTATATTCCTCTCTCCCTGCCCCAGCCATATCACTCTGTCTCCACCTCCCAAGTGCTGGGATCACCTTTGTGTGTGAGCTCTGTTTCTCTTTTAGACTGGATCAATCTCATGTATTCCTGGGTGGCTTGGAACTCACAGAGATCCATCTGCCTCTGTCTCCCGAGTGCTGGGATTAAAGGTATGGCCACCACTGCCTGGTCTCTATGGCTAACTAGTGGCTTAGCTCTGTACTCTGATCTTTAGGCAAGCTTTATTTGTTAGATCATAAACAAAATATCACCACAGTTAGCTTTCGGCCCTTCTCCCCTCTGTGGAGGACAGGGATCGGGGGGGGGGGTGGTGAAAGTGCCATGCTCTGACCATAGTTTGTCATTCTGATGACATGCTCAAATCCAGGAACTCACAAGAGTCACTTCCCTACAGCAGAGGACACTTCCATTTCTCAGGAAATTCCAAAGAATTAGTAGCTATGTGGGTCATATCCCAGAACAAAAGATTACCAAACAATCTTATTAATCACACAATTATAACAGGTTTCTAGGAATTTTATGCCAGAAAATGGAATGGAAACCAAAAGTATATACATACTTATATGTGTGTGTATAATACAGACACAGAGACAGATATATATATATATATATATATATATATATATATGTGTGTGTGTGTGTGTGTGTGTGTGTGTGTGTGTGTATCAGGATAACACATATAATAGGGCAGACCATTTAATTTAATTTTGTAAATTTTGTTTATTTTATATGCATGGGTGTTTTGTCTGCATGGATGTCTGTGCCACAAAACAGTGTCAGGCCTTCTGGAACTGGATGGAGTTACAGATAGTTGTAAGCTGCCATACGGGAACTAGGAATCAAACCCTGGTTCTTTAGAAGAGAACCAGTGTCGTTAACTGGATAAGCAATCCCTCCTGTCCTAGTTTTAGAGTTTAGGATCTATTTTCTGGGGGGGGGGAGGAGATCAGGCTGCAGTTCTGGGGACAGGAGGCTGAGATTAACAGGTTTAGAACAAGGTCATGTGAATTGCACGGGTTCCAGGAGAAGGAAGTTAGCAGGGGTTCAGTCAAGTGGTGCAGTGATGTCACAGCCGAGTCCCTGCCCATCTGCTGTGTGAGCATTCACATACAGCTGAGGCAGACTAGAGCTCACACCTTCATCATCCTTCCCCAGCCAAGGCTATGATCCTTGGGCTGCTATGAAACGCTTCGCCTGAAGCACATGAAGCCTCATCTGGTTCAGGTTTACACTCTGAAGTATAGCTGCCCCTGCTCACAACAGCTGTCCTAGACTCTGCCTTTTTCCATTACTGTCATCTTCAGTTACTGCATTTCAGTGACAAACCTTGACAAGCTATAGCATCATTAAAACAAGACAACTATGTGATTAATAAGATGAAATGCAGCAATCACAATGATTTAAAGTATCAGTTATGGTAAACCATGTAGCATTTAAAAATGTCAGACTTTGTCGTCTACATATTAGACTACCCAACCCGTAGAACAGTCTTGCAAGTTTTATTTCCTGAACTTTAGAGGTGTTGAAGTTAACTTGTAACTTGTTAAGGCTTACGTGACAGGAAATGCTACAAGTGGTGTTCAAACCCAGAACTCTGGCTCCGACGGTGCCTGCTACACAATGAATACGCAGGTGTACAATGAAATGAGAGTCCTTGTCTACTGCCATCCATTGCATGTTTCTTCAGCCCACTCAGTTAACCCGTGACTTATTGCATGCCCCAGCAATTCTACCCCTGCAGATATGCCCAAGAAAACTGCAAATGTGTTCATAAAACTAACAATGCTATTTATAACAGGCCAAAATAGAACCATCCAAATGGCCATCAATTCTGAATGAACACACAAAATTGTGCTATATCTGTATTCTGGGATACATTTTAGCCCCAACAAGAAATGGAGCAAAGATCCATGCTACAATTTATTCTGCTTAATCTTTATTTCAAATTGTGTGTGTGTGTGTGTGTGTGTGTGTGTGTGTGTGTGTGTACAAGTGCACATTCATGCATGGAACACTTATGGATGTCAAAGGACAATTTGCAATAATGGATTCTTCCCTTCCACCATGTGGATCCCAGGGTGGTAAGCCTGTTAACCCACTAACTCATCTCACCAGCCCCTCTGCTATAACTTAGATGTATGTGGAAAATAGTGTCAAAGTAAAAGAAGTCATTTCATTTATTTCAACTGTCCAGAATAAGCAAGTCTTTGAAAAGGTAGAAAATAAATTACAAAGAGTTCTATAGATAGACTGCACGTAACATTGTCCATAAAGATAGGTTCTATAGATTGACTGAGCAAAACAAGCTCATGATAAGGGTCTGGGGGAGGACCCTGTGTGGTTTCAGCCACACAGATAATGAAAAGATCACTAGGCTATTAACCATCACTGCTCCAAGCCTCTGCGCAGAAAACAGGTTAGACATCTCTCCCTTTGAAGATACAACACTGCTTGTGTAACGTTGCTGGTTTCCCTAGTGCTCATGCCTGGGCACAAGGGTTTCTGTGCCTCCTAAGGTTGCCTTTCTCACCTTCTCTGCCCAAAGGTGGGCACGGCTTCCTCTGCTGAATATTCCGTTGAACATCCTCCCAAAGTGCCAGCTGTCACCTGGCTTTAGTATCCACCTGCTCTCCCTGGTCCTTTCAAGACTATAGGTAGCAGACATTTCCACTGTTGCCACTTAAGATCTACTGAATGCCATATGCAGGCAGAAAACCTTGTATGCATCTAAATATATCATTTCAGTCAGTCCTCAAAGCACCATAATCAGATGACTTCAGTTCTACTGCAGACGGAAGTGACAAAGTGAGAGGGTGCTGGTGATAGGCTGGGAAGGGAATCAAGGCATGGTTTGTCTGCACACTATTCAGGGATCTGTGGCTCAGCTCCCTTCAAAGGCTTTTTTTATTCTTGGTAACACACCCGCTCCCACCAACAGGAATAAGATATTGTTGCAATTTTCCCATCCGGCATTGAACAAATAATGTTTGAAATGAAGAATCTAAAAGCCAGAAAGAATACCGAGGACTGAAGCTGAGAACAACCACACAAGCCTGCGAGATCTGTGCCAGGCTAGAGATGCCTTCTCTATGGTGTCTGTGGTGTGAGCCAAGGTTAAGGCAGGGAGCTCTTCCTAAAGAAAATAGCGTGAAGCACACGCTATTTTCCTGAACCGTTGAGTAGCTAATGGGTTCTTGGGTGTTTCCTCAGAGGCTGGGGAGCCTTGGTCTAGACAGACATTGCCGGTATCGGAGTACGTAATATAGGAAGGGCGTAAGGTAACATGGGCATTCTGGTAACTGTTTTGCTTTTGTTTCCTGTTTACCTTTCAGCCATATGATGGTGGCATTTTTATAGGCTCGGGACTCCGGGGACTTGAAATGACATTTCCATGCTGCCGCTTCTGCCTTTCCTCAGAATCATCAGCTAGACTACATCCTGCAGGTTGCAATTTGCGGCTCTGACTGCCCCACCCAACCTCCCTGCTCCAGACGCCGGCACCGGAAGGACACCCCAGGACGCGAGAACAGGAGCCCTTAAAAGATCCAAAGGGCACGCTGATTGGCTGAAGAGCGTCCAATCCCTAGGCTCTGCCAAGCAAAGCAAGGTCCTGCCCTGATCCATCTGGAGCTCTGCCTAGAGGCCTCGGTAGTGGTCACCATCCAAACACTGTCGCGTGAGTGCGTCCGGCTGCAGGGAGGGAGGGTCGGCTCGGCTACTCAACCCTACAGGGCTGCAGCTCTGTCTGGGCCGGGAGGCGTGGGCCCTGGGTTCTGCTAATGCCCCCGTGGCTGACAGGTATTGCCAACCCGGTTTTGTGACTGAGCGTGATCTCTCAGCATTTCCCAAGTTGGGAAAAGTCTGCAGAGTGCAATGGAGAGGGAAATGGGGTAACTGTAAGGGAAATACCTAAATGACAGTAAACTGGCTCTACAGAGTCAAAGTGGAAACAATGACAGAACACCCCCCCCCCCCCGAGGCTATGTGCTTCCGTTTAACTTTGCTAGGAAATATAATTTGGAAGATTGATTGAGGATGATTGCGGTGATGTGACCAGCCACAAATTCAGGTAATAAAACAGGGCAGAGATCTGGATGACAGAAGGCACATATTCTTTCTCTTTTCAATAAAAATCTTGTTTCCCAGGGCGATCAGAGAAAGTCTTGTCTGGGATTTGCACCATCGACATTCCCTCACCTTCCACAGTAATTAGAATCATGGCTGTGCAGAGCTGGAATATCAACCCTCCCCCCAAAAAAAAAAAGAACACCCCAAACAAGCAATCAAGCAAGCAAAAAACAGGAGCAACCTGGACCCGTGTCAATATTTTCTGTCCTCACAACACGCTTGTTTCCTGTGTCATCTGTAATAAAGATGATTCGAGGCCACGCTTATTTAACTGTTGATAACGTTGTGTCTCTGGGAGAGAGAAAACTGAGGGTATTTGGAACACCCTAAGAAAAGGCTCTTAATGGCTTTGTTAGGTATAGGGGAGAAGAAGTTGATAATACTGTTCAAGGGTGAAGTTACAAGGTGTGGCATACTCGTTTGCAGGTGTGGTCTCTCAGAGGGACACTGTTCCTGATTTCCCTCTGTCTTTAACCTGTCTACCTGTGAATTACTTCTGACATATCCAAAGTCCAAGTCCAAGAGTACAAGGCCCAGAAAGAGGTAAGCCTGAACCCTAGCTTTCCACGTGTTTCTTTTCTCTAGATGATTGACATGGGGCTTGTCCCACCACTGTAAGAGAGAGAGAGATCCTCCCTCATAAATAGGAGTGTGCCAAGGGACTCAGTTTTCTCTCTCTCTCTCTCTCTCTCTCTCTCTCTCTCTCTCTCTCTCTGTGTGTGTGTGTGTGTGTGTGTGTGTGTGTGTAAAGTAGAGAACTCTTGATTTCTTTGAAAATGTTTGAGGCAGGTGTAAAAATTCAACCTTTCATTCCTACATGCAGAAGACAAATAAGCAATGGTGAGTAAAAGTTTTTCTTGTGTGGAATCATTCCATTTTGTGCAAGGAGGAGCCACAGAGATTATCAAGATGGATGGCAGTGTTTCTCCTGCAAGCTCAGTTGAAAATGACTCAATTGGGATGTCAATATTTAGATAACAGAGTAAACTGCTAGGTCCCACTCCCCGATGAGTGTCCTTTTTCCCTGCTCTTAGGTGCAATGGGACAATGACAGACAGGAAGGAATTGTCATAAGGCATCCTTAGGGAACTGTTCTTTCTTCTTAGCAAGTCCTGCAGCCTCTATCCTGTTCTGCAGCTGATTGGTTCAAGTGCCATGTAATTTCAGGGTTTGTTCTTTGTTGGAATATAAGGAAGTCACTGAAGCCTGGCTCTCGGCTCCTGCTCTACCTCTGGGACACATCCCCGTTCCCACTCACCCTACCCCTGGGACACATCCCCGTTCCCACTCACCCTGCTAACAGGATGACCACTCCAACCATGCTTCTGCCTCTTCCCCTGCTCATTTCCCTAGTTTCCCGAGTTCCTCTAAATCCAGGATTCCCTGATGATGACAGGTGTGGAAATAACTGTTGTCTGGGGTCCAAATAGACATAGCCCTGCTGTAAAGCATCAAGACTGGTTACTGTGGTGTGAAGGTACTCAGTAGCCTACAAAAATGACATTGAAGAAAGTAGAGAAGTTGTGACATTCTCCTGAGCCTTGTAGTTTTCTGAGAGAAACATCAATAACTAAGGAAGACGTTTTCTGTGCGCACTCACTTGGATTTAGAATGAAATTAGAGGAGTTCTGGCCCACCTACAGTTTACAACCCTTAGGTAGCTGTGAGGTAAGATAAGATGAAAGCAGAAGTGCTGTCTGATGTGGGTGTGTCTGTGTGGCCTGAGTCACAGTTGCAACATACATTCATAAGAAAACAAACTTCAAATTGTGAGTTTTAATCCTTTCCAGGCCATTAAAAGAGAACAACCATTCTGTATTCTTTTTTTAGCTTTACCATAATGCTCAATAAATTATATTGAGCACATTATTATAAAAAAAGAGGCCTGTACTTAACTGTAGGCTAATGTGTTCTAAGTACATTTAAGGTAGGCTAAGGTAAATCTTGATGTTCAGTATATTTTGTGTAGTAAGTGCATTTTTCTCAATGGTATTTCCAATTTACAATGTGTTTATTGGGCTATAACTTCCAATGGAAGGAGAGAAGAAACTCTACAATGTAGTCCTTTAAAAAAAAAATGCATTTCCGGGCAGAGGAGATGGCTTAGTGCATAATGTGCTTGCCATATAATCATGAAGACCTGTGTCGGATGCCTCCAAACCAATGAAAATCTGAGCATGGTGCACACATCTGCAGTCCCAGTGGCGAGACAGGAGAGTCCCTGGGTCACTCCCGGGCAGCTGGTCTGGTGTACACAGCTGAAAGCAGCAAGTGAAATAGGCTGTCTCAAAAAAGGTGGGAAGTAAAGACCAATTCCTGGGTTGTCCTCTGACCTGCACTCATGCAGTGATGCACCCACACACATGAATGGATATATACACTCACACATGGGGATGTATGTATGTATGTATGTGTGTATATATGTATGTATGTATGTATGATTTAACAGTGTGTTAGCAAGGGCAGGTAAGCATCCTCATATTTCCCTCCCCTTGAGGACCATGGTAACTTGGAGAGAATGGAGGTGAGGCTGGAGGAGGATAGCTAGGGGATATCAGCTGCAAGAGGATGGGGATGAGATGTACGTCAAAGAGGGGTGGGAACATAAGACTTTGGGAAGAACATTGATATACTGACTGTGAGATGCCTGATTTTTTTTTTTTAATTCTTTCAAGACAGGGTTTCTCTGTGTAGCTCTGTAGACCAGGCTGGTCTTGAACTCACAGAGATCCTCCTGCCTTTGCCTCCCAAGTGCTGGGATTAAAGGTGTGTTCCACCACCACTCAGCTGAGACACCTGATTCTTAAAACACAAGTTCAAGAAGGACGGACAAAAGTTCTTCTGAACACACATCCTCAAATGCAAGGCCTTAATGTCTATTGATCTGACCATAAGAAGATGGATAGCCTTAGATTTACAGTGGGGAAAATCATGAGGGAATATGGCACTGTGTATTTACAGAGCAGGGGGAGATGGGAAATCATTTTGATCAGCTGGTCTTGACTAAGTAAATGATGCCTGGCTGGGTAAGTATGCCTGTGGTTAAACAGATAACATTTACACTACTGCCTAGGTCAATTTCTCTCTTTTGACATTGTTGATAGTTGATAGTACAGAGTCTGTAATTTAAAGTTGCCTTGCATTTTCATGCTTTAGGTCAAGATGGGGTTTATATTCTCAAAATCTATGAATGAAAACATGAAAAGCCAACAAGAGTTCATGGTTATGCATGCTCGACTTCAGGTACGTGTTAGTTAAGATGTTACGTTCTTAATCACATACAATTTCTAGACTGGTGCTCTGGAGGTGTGTTCTCTTTGACTACCCTTGACATCTACTTAAAATGCCCTTGGACCCCACCCCCAAGAGATGAAGTGGATGACTCCCTAGTTGGTGAATGGCCCTCGCCTTCAAAATTTCCACACTACACATAATTGCTGAGAATATATTATGAGCAGAATATACCCTTGCCCCCAAGGTATCCCAGATTCCTGGAACCTGTGCATGTATTAGGAATATGATATTTTATATAGAAAGGAACTTCTCGATATTGAACTCGAGTTGGAAGAGGCGAGTCCTGTCTCAAAATTGAGGGCCATGATCCAAAGGATCCAGAACAGTTGAGGAGGCTGTTTATTGGTGGTCTGAGTTTTGAAACCACAGATGACAGCTTAAGAGAACACTTACAGACTGTGTGGTAATGAGAGACCCCCAAACAAACGTTCCAGGGGCTTTGGTTTTGTGACCTACTCTTGTGTTGAAGAGGTGGATGCTGCAATGTGTGCTCGACCACACAAGGTTGATGGGCGTGTGGTGGAACCAAAGAGAGCTGTTTCTAGAGAGGATTCTGTAAAGCCTGGTGCCCATCTAACAGTAAAGAAAATTTTTGTTGGTGGTATTAAAGAAGATACAGAAGAATATAATCTGAGAGACTACTTTGAAAAGTATGGCAAGATTGAAACCATAGAAGTGATGGAAGACAGGCAGAGTGAAAAAAAAGAGAGGATTTGCTTTTGTAACTTTTGATGATCATGACACCATTGATAAAATTGTTGTTCAGAAATACCACACTATTAATGGGCATAATTGTGAAGTGAAAAAGGCCCTTTCTAGACAAGAGATGCAGTCTGCTGGATCACAGAGAGGTCGTGGAAGTGGATCTGGCAACTTTATGGGTCATGGAGGAAACTTTGGAGGTGGTGGAGGTAATTTTGGTCGTGGTGGAAACTTTGGTGGAAGAGGAGGCTATGGTGGTGGAGGTGGTGGCAGCAGAGGTAGTTATGGAGGTGGTGATGGTGGATATAATGGATTTGGAGGTGATGGTGGCAACTATGGTGGTGGTCCTGGTTACAGTAGTAGAGGAGGCTATGGTTGTGGTGGACCAGGATATGGAAACCAAGGTGGTGGATATGGTGGTGGAGGAGGATATGATGGTTACAATGAAGGAGGACATTTTGGTGGAGGTAACTATGGTGGTGGAAACTATAATGACTTTGGAAATTATAGTGGACAACAGCAGTCAAATTATGGACCCATGAAAGGGGGCAGTTTTGGTGGAAGAAGCTCAGACAGTCCCTATGGTGGTGGCTATGGCTCTGGTGGTGGAAGTGGTGGATATGGTAGCAGAAGGTTTTAAAAAAATACAGCAGAAAAGGGCTACAGTTCTTAGCAGGAGAGAGAGCAAGGAGTTGTCAGGAAAGCTGCAGGTTACTTTGAGACAGTCATCTTAAATGCATTAGAGGAACTGTAAAAATCTGCCACAGGAGGAACGATGATCCATAGTCAGAAAAGTTACTGCAGCGTAAACAGGAAACCCTTCTTGCTCAGGACTGTCATAGCCAGTTTGCAAAAAGTGCAGCTATGTAGTGTCAATTAGATGTGCATTCCTGAGGTCTTTTATCTGTTGTAGCTTTGTCTTTTTCTTTTTCTTTTCATTACATCAGGTATATTGCCCTGTAAATTGTGGTAGTGGTACCAGGAATAAAAAATTAAGGAATTTTTAACTTTTCAAAAAAAAAAAGGGGGGGGACTTCTCTGTGTGTTCATATAAAGAAAAAAGAAAGGACTTCTCTGTGTGTTCATATAAAGAGGTATTAGCCTGGATTATCCATTGGGTCCACTGTAATTCCCAGGGCTCTTATAAGGAGACTCTGTGTGTGTGTGTGTGTGTGTGTGTGTGTGTGTGTAAGAGAGAGACAGAGACAGAGAGACAGAGACAGAGAGGGAATTCAAAGATGTCATACTGCTGATATACACACAGAAATAGAGAAAGACTTTAAAGGTGTCATACTTCTGCTACACATAGACATCTTAAACACAAACCCAAGCTGAGCTTTGAAGATGGAGTGAGTCAGGTCCGTGGCCAACAAAGGCAGGCAGCCTCAATAAGTTGGAAAAGCCAAAGAAGCAGATTTTCTCCTGCTCCCTCCACAGAGACAGGGCTGTGCCAGCCCATTTTTGTCCTTTAGCCTCAGATAATTTGTTAACATGACATTAGGAAACTGCTATAGACTGTACACTTGACCTTGGATTATACAGTAGATGTTTAGAAAATAAAATCAAAGAGATGGCTGAATTGCCCAATATGAGTTGTCAAATTATTTTTAAATGTTATAAAACACTGCTGAAAGTTAAAAAATTCAGCCCAAATTGTTTTGCTAAGATTTTAGACGAAGATCATGAGGTCCCTGTGGTCTGTTATGTCTCTCTACTCTTGGGCAGTACAAATGAGAGAAAGGTAAACCAGACTGCCTGGATGAATCCATATTAACCTGATAGCATATCCAATCTGTCCTTGGTCTCCTGGTCTGAACCCTTCAGAGATGCTCTAAAGAGGAAGCAGTGTGTACATCATGTAGAATATATAACATATAGAATGTGTAGTAAATGCCTGTTGCTTATATTAGGAGTTGCTGTCATTGATATTCAAATCTTTTTAAATGTTAGGGTTTCATGTAGCCCAGGCTGGTTTCAAGCTGGGTGTGTAGTCTAAGGTGGCCTTGAACTCTTGATTCTCCTACCCTTCTTTCCTCAGTGCTAGGGTTATGGGTATGGGCCACTATACCCAGCTGCTATTAAAGACTTATTTGAGTTCCTGGGCAGTATAATGATTCCTTTGGTGGAAATAGAGAAATTGAAAGAATGGGCAAGTTTTCTTCTTCTTCTTCTTCTTCTTCTTCTTCTTCTTCTTCTTCTTCTTCTTCTTCTTCTTCTTCTTCCTTCTTCTTCTTCCTTCTTCTTCCTTCTTCTTCCTTCTTCTTCCTTCTTCTTCTTCTTCTTCTTCTTCTTCTTCTTCTTCTTCTTCTTCTTCTTCTTCTTCTTCTTCTTCCTTCTTCCTCCTCCTCCTCCTTCTTCTTCCTGTTATGGGGTGGTGACCAGAGGTGTCGGATGACAGTAAAGGTATAAGCCCAGTATCTCAGAAACTTGGAGCCACCTGTGCATGGGAAGTACAGAAGTTTCCTTCTAAATCAGTCCACGTGACCTCAGGGTCTGTGAAGATTTGGGGAGTTTATTCCCCTTGGAAGTTACAGGAAAACAGAGAGTTCTACGTCAGAGGACTTCATAGTGCACCAAAGCAGCATGGGTGTAATGTTGGTGTTACTTCCTCATGCTACTCCAAGCTCATGGAGGTGACAAGGATGGGCATGCGTGTAAGTGGGCGCTCTGCACTATGTGGGTTTAGGCCATGTATGGGGAATACTGAGTGTAAGGCAATCTGCTGCTTTTACAATGAACCATGAGCAAGAGGGACATGGAGGCCTTAGCTTTGTTTCAGTCCTTCGAGTTGTTCCCTGACACAAGCAAAGGATGGCTCCAGTAACTAGGTTTTTTTTTTTTTTTTTTTTTTTTTTTTTTTGATGTGCAGGGATATTCATGGTCCCTGGTAGTCACCTGACTGACCAGAGACAAGAGAGCAGCTTTAAATCCTTCCCTGTCAATCTCAATGGGTAGGTTTTCCAGGTGTGGCACTGAGGCCATCAATTTTCAGCTTATCTAAACCAAAGGTGAACCCAACCTAGGAACCCAGCCCCCCCTTGAGCCGGCAGCTTTCTCTCATCTGGAAGAAGACAGGGTAAAATTTTCCCTAGAAAACCTGCATAGAACCGAGAAAAGGCTAGGTAGGGCCTGACACACTGCACCTTCAAACATGCCATGTTCACTTGAGGGACTGACAGGCCCCTTCCTTGTACTTGTCCTGTTTTCGATGACAATGGAGATGTCATACCTGAGGATCACAAGGCTTCCACAGAGCAAAATTTATCTTACAGTAATGCTCAACAAGAAAGCAATGCTTGCCTTGCCTCTCTGACCCTTGGATTATTAGCCGAAGAATTGAGTCCCCTCAAAATTTGTATGTTGGAATCCTAACCCCAATATGACTTCATTGGAGATAGAGTCTTCATAGAGGTAATCAAGTTAAAAGAAATCCTTGGGGTGGGTCTTAATCTGACAGTGACTTTTAAGAGGAAAGTTGATTCTGTACCCCAAATATGGACACAGTCATTTACAAGTCAGAGCCAGAAGTCTTCTTATAGCTTGTCAAGGAATTGGATACATTGATTTGGGATTTCTAGATTCCAGAACCAAGACAAAAAGTATTTTCTATTTCATAAACCAGCCAGATTGTGGCCCTCTTGGGGTAGGGGCAGCTTTAGCAATCTAAAGTAGGGAGTACTTGGAAGCTGTGTCCAGAAATGGGTGCTGGTATATTGGGCAAGAGGCTCAACTATAATTTTCTACCTTTCTTCCCAACTGCCTATTTCTATAAGCCTTTCTGGGAGGAGAGTCAGAGCTCACTAATGGGGGAGATTTAGTCACCATGAGTTTTCCATACAAATAGTTTCACTATACACTTGTGTGTGTGCACGTACATACCTGACAGTGTCTTGAGTTGAGTCAACTGCTATTCCTTAGTGTAAACCTTGTTCACACTACATCAGTTGAATCCACCCTTTCATTCAAAGTATTGCAGGGTTCCTGCATAGTTTCAGGAGATTATACAGTTATACAGATGTCTGGTGACTGATATGAAGACTTTTTCTTTTTAAAAAAAATAGTTTTTGAGCATTTCATACAATGTATTAGGGGTGGGAGCTATGGCTCAGTAGTAGAGGGTTTGCCTAGCATGCATGAGGTCCTAGGTTCAGTACCCACTACAGCAACTAAAAAGACATGGGGAGGGGTGAAGGGGAGGAGGAGGAGAGAGGAAAGAGAAGTTAGTTTTCCTGGTAGGGAGAGAAACTGCCTCTTCCACCCTCTTACTCAAGATGAGCTATACAGTTAAAAATGAACATTTTTCCACAGAGCCACTAGATGGCACACCTAAACAACTTTAAAGTGCCCACATGTCTGGAAAACTTGATGTTTATGATGTTACTGAGGTAGAATGGAAAGCAGAACCTTAACGTTGAAATAAAATACAGATGCTCCAGCCTGTGCTATGCAGTGCGGCTGTAGGCAAAGCAGCATGGTCGTACAAAGATCAGCGGGCAGTAAATGTTTATTTGTTGTTTGCTGTGTTCAGGCAACAGCACCAGAGGAAACAAAAGCCAACCAAACATGAGAGCCAGCCCTTGACCTGTTTTTGTGTAGTTTCTCCTAGTTTTTAAAGAAATTGGATTTCGCAGATGGAAGATGCAATGTTTCTGCTCTTTAATTGTCATTGTCCATTTGCTACAGCCTGGAGTCACCTGAGAAGAGGGACTCTCAGTTTGATTAGACTGGCCTGTATGTCTATGAGAGATTGTCTTGACTGATGGTCAGTATGGGAGAGCCCAGCCCACTGTGGGCGCTATCAGTCCTAGGCAGGTAGGTCTGAGCTGTATAAGAAAGCTAACTGGACAGGAGCCCCCTGCTAGAAAACAGTGTTCCCTCATGGTTCCCACCCACCCCCCAGGTTCCTGCCTTGAGTTCCAGACCTGACTTCCCTAAATGATGGCTTATGACCTGGAAAGTGAAATAAGCCCCGTCTTTTGCTTTTGCTCATGCACTTAGCACAGTCACGTAATCAAAATGAACAGTTCCAAACGTGGTAATAAAAAGAAACACTTCCAGGCACTCCGAGGGATTTTTCTTAGCCATCACCACGGTCAGACATGTATATAAAGTGTGATGTGTCTATTAAGTGTCACATGAATTAGGAGCTAAAATACCTTGGTAAACTGTGATTTCTTCTCTCAAGGGGTCATACATTCTTGACAGGGTAGAGATGGCAGCCAGTGAGTTCAACATGGTGTTAAGAGCGAAGAATGCTGCTATACATTAATGCATCTGTTGAAGACATGATGGTAGAGGCTTTTCCAAAGGTCACATATGTAGTCAGTGTTTGCTCAGTTCTGACAGTGTGCAGACCCTGGCTAGTTAAGGAGGGTATAAAAATAAAAAGGCAAGATTGGGAGCTTTGCTCTCTGTCCTGACATGGTTCAAATATTTCATGTAGGACTTTTCTTAGAGGAAAAAAATGTTCGGATCATGTTTAATAAGCACACTGTGAATCTATTAGGAAAATTAATGTTAGTTTGAGGTTCATTGTTAGGTTTTTGCTTAGACGACTGAATCTAGCTATTGGTTTAAGGGGTTATCTATTATGATAATTATGCTGTTGGATAACCAAATTTATTATATATGGGTGTATTTTTTCAATTATTACACATTGTTTATATGCCAAATACTATTAAGGCATAGTTATTTTTAGTTTTATTTTCCCCAAAGGAAAAACATTAACTTTTAAGTTTTATTTGTTTTAAGTTTTTTGAACTAGACATCAGAGTTTTTAAAACTATGTTGGTATGCGAGATCATATCATTATCTACCTTCCTCCTCCTCCCTCCTTTCCCTTCCTCCTTCCTTCTCTCCCTCCCTCTCTCCCTCCCTCCCTTCCACCTGAACCATGATGAGTTCTCTCTGATGTCCCCTTACTAAGACACCCACCCACTGTGTCTCTTTTGTTGCAATAAGTCACTTGACAACAGATTTCAACTATAAGTATATAGTGTCTTTTAGCTAGAGAACATTGACAATACTATGTTACCACATAAGTACACAATGTGATGTGTCACTTACAATGTGCCAAGCACTGTTGTAAATTAAGGTGTGTGTGTGTGTGTGTGTGTGTGTGTGTGTGTGTGTGTGTGTGTGTGTCGGTGGTGGTGGTGGTGTTCCTTGAGACAGGGTGGCAGCAGCCCAAGTGGGCCTCAAATTCACCGTTCTTTCTGTGTTCCCTCTCAAGTTCTGGGATTACAGGCATACACTACCAAGCCTGATGCAGAGTTGTTAACCTGTACTCTGTGGCAGAGAATCTTACAACTAGAGTCCAGTGTTTGAGAACAGTCCTTTTGATTTTTGACAGTACCATTTCTGCATAGTTAGACAATCCCCTCCCCTTCCTTACATCATGCATTTGTCATGTGGTCACAGGATCTCGGATTGCATTGTCCCATGTTGGGCATCCTCTAAGTTCTTGACTGATACATTGGGTTCACTCTTTATCATAAAGGTAATGCATGTGACAAGGACAGGGTGTTCTGCATTCGCTGCTGCATTGTACTATTTAGTCCCACAATCTTTATAAAGCTCTCTGCTCACTCCCTTTGACAGTTCCAACCATCAGTTTCAGGCTGATATCCATTTGATGTTTACTGGGGGAAAAAATCTTTCCTTCGATAGCCTCTTTAGATGGTAGTTCTCAATCCCAGCTGCACACCAGAGCCACCTAGACCACCTGCAAAATAAATAAAGTAAACTTGAACTAAACTTATGCTGATTTACCTCCAGTTAACATAGGGAATAACAGCTCTGGGCTGTTGGGGTGGATACTGGGACATTGAAGAACTCCACGGATGTTTAGTTGAGGAACTCCACAGATGTTTACATTGAAGAAATCCACAGATGTTTACAGCTGAAGATACTGATGTTGGGCTTCTCTGTGTCTTTTTGTTTTAGATGCCTTTTTATATGAATACAGATTATTAATTGCTATATTTATATCATTTTTTGAGATATATATGCATTTTTATATGAGTTTGGGAAATAAGTGATCTACAAGGATAGGTTTTACACATTCAATATTCATGCATACAAAAGCATACTATTTATCTTTAATGGAACTCAAAGTGAACGTCAACTTCTACTGACAAAGGCAAGGACCAGTGGCTTAATTACCTCGTGCTCGCTCTTCTCCGTTCACTTTTCCCTGGAACAATCTTGGCTTGGCCTAGGTGACCTCAGGTGTTACAGGCATTAGAGGAGGCATCTCTGGTTGAGGGAAATGTCTGCTGTTGTTTACAACCACCTAGGAAACATGAGATGATTTGTTCTGAGAGCATTGATCATGCACCGAGTGAGTTTGGCCATGACCTACACTTTTCCATGCCACGGACCCTTGAGATACAAATGCCTTCTCCAGTCGCCTCTGGCTTATTAGTCTCTACCCACGTGTCCACTATGAGTTCTCCAGCCACTATGGTTTAGTGGCTGCCGGGCATGCCACCTGCTTCTAATTTTTAGCTACATCTTGGGAACTTTTCTAGGTGACATGGGAGCCACACAGGCACCTGGGTAGCTGTTGTCTCTCTACTTTGGTTTCCCCCTCCCAGAATCCTCTTTGTTTATAGGATCCCCGGGCACACCTGGGGTTTGCTTGACATTCTCCTGTGCTATTACTCCCCGGGAGTGAGGAGGCCAAGCCTTTCACCATTCTCCTCAGTTGCTGCCATGCTAGAAAGCAGACATGACCGGAAACGGAGTCACATTCTTTTTCTTTCATCATGAACTCTAGTTTTCTGAGCTTTGCTGGTGATACGTATGTGCGTCGAGGTTTTAGAATTAAGCGGCCAAGAATAAAGCAAGTTTCTTTCGAAGAACCGGACACTTTAAATCATCCTTGGGCTTTCATTTTGTCACTGCTGCTGCTCCTCTGTATTTCTTTAAAAACCCAGTCCGGTATTGTGTCCCGTGTTTTGTGCTGTTCAAAGCCAAGAAAGGCACTGGCTAAAGTGGCACAAGACACAGAAGGTGACAAGCAAAAATGTCTTTTGACACCTCAAAGCAACACCCCTTCATCGCTGTATGATGAGGACCTGGCATTTCAATTTGTAGTTGGCAAAACGATTTCCAAGCAAGAACAAACAACAAAGTCAGGCAAGGTGGGCATGTTTAGTGACCCACAGATCTTTCCTCACACGAAACAGAAAGGGCTGGAAACATATTGAGGCTTGGATCCACAAAAAAAGCAGTCAAGACCTCAGTGAGCAGAATCAGTGTCTGCTTTGTATACATTTGGAAGGAATCGTCACTGCCAAAGCCATAGTTGCACAGAGCTTTTCAGAGCAACTTAGTCAATGTCTATTGTGATTTAAACAAGATAAAAATGCATCAGAACAAAAGGAAGGAAAAGCAGATTGTTAGCAGTGTTCCAAGACAAAAGGTGAGTAACCCGCTTTGTCTTTTGTGCTTAGCTGGAAAGGCAGCTGACCATGCAGAACGAGATGAGGGAAAGACAAATGGCTATGCAGATCGCCTGGTCTCGGGAATTCCTCAAATATTTTGGAACTTTTTTTGGCATTGCCACCATCTCTTTAGCAGCTGGGTATGTTTATGATTTACTTAATTTTTTTTTTTGTGAAATATTACAGTATTTGCCATGATCATAGCACTGTTGACTGAGGTAGGACTTTGAATCCAAGAATATTCATGTAAACAAAGAAAACTCCTTTAGCTTAACTCCTCTGTAGAGCAGGGTAGTAACAGTTCATTCTTCTTGTCTTCCTTCGATTCCTTCTGCCTTTGTCTCTAGTTTACAAGTTAAAGAGGACTCACTTGACACCAAGATGGAGGTCCTGAATGGTAGTCCTGTGTCCTTGTGTGCTTTAAATGGGAGTAAGCAAGCCTTGAAGTTTAAGAAAGATTGGCAAGTCATAGTGCCCCCCATCCCCAGCCAAAGAATCTGGTGAGGTATGCGAGGCAAGGAAATTCAATTTCTATAGAAGACTCAGATGAATTAAATAACTTGTGAGATGGAATACATCCTCCCAGAAAGCAAAGTGATTTTTCTTACAAGGACAAGAAGTACATTTGCTAGTTATTGTTGACATTCATCTTTCTATTTCTGAAACAGAGCAATAAAGCAAAAGAAGCCAGCCTTTCTCTTTCCTATAGTTCCACTTAGCTTTATCTTCACCTACCAGTATGACCTGGGCTATGGAACACTTCTACAAAGAATGAAAAGTAAGTCTCCTTAAACTTGTTTGTTTCCTAATTAATATTCTGATTCAAGATCTCCATTCAGGCTGGGAGATGGCTCAGTCAGTAAGGTACTTGCTTTGCAAGCATGAAGGTCCAAGTTCAAACCCTAGTACCCATGTAAAAAAGCCGGGTGTGGTGGTACATGTTTGTAATCTCAGTACCAGGGAGGCAGAGACAGGCAGGTCTCTTTGGCTCCCTGGCTAGCCAGCCTAGCCTACTTGGCACACTCCAGACTAGTATGAAATATTGTCTCAAAAATAAAAACAAAAAGTAGATAATGTCTGAGGACGCTGGAGGTTAACCTCTGCCCTCTACATGCATGTGTACACACACAAACACACACACACACACATATCCCCTCCTTATAAATCTTTGACTTATTTGACTTACATTGATTCTTGTAGAATCACTTTCCTAAGATTCCAATGACCAACATCTCTGCTCCCTCCAACACAGTGGCAAGGAGTTAGCTCTTAATGGCTCATGAGAGCTGATTTGATAAATGTTTAGAAGCTGTGTATGGTGGATGTAAGGCAGCACAGTTGTTTATTGAAATTAATTAAATAGGAGTATTCAGACTTAGAGTTGAATTTTAATAAATACTAAATTTATTGTATTTAAATAAAAGGTATTTAAAACAAAGGCATTAAACACTCAGAATTCATCTATTTCTATTCTATATAACTATAGATTACTTGTATCAATGGTATCTGCATGTATGTAGAAGCAGCATACAGATGCAGCAAAGTGCAGCCACAACTTCAGCCTCAGCAGCATTCCATTGGTGGCTTGAGGTCGGTCATGATGGGAGCATCTACATCATGGAAACTGGCAAACACCAAATCAAGGCTTTACCTTATATTTTGTCAATCATCTAGACCAGGGATTGGAAATGCTGAATCTTAAACCTTTGGGAAAGAATTGTAATAATTTCTATAAGTATTCTTTTCACAGACAGCTTACTTATTTTTAGTGCAAATTTGTGATTATTTGTATGTGTGCGTTGTATATTGGTCAAATCCAGGTAGTTATATCTATCTCCATGCATTTATCATTTTTTTTGTTGTTGTTGTTATGGTTCTGAGACACATTCTCCCTGTGGAGCTCAGGCTGGCCTTGAACTAATGCTCCTCTTGTCCTTCTGCCTGAGTGCTAAATTATAGGCATGTATCACCACATCCAGCTGCAGCTGGGTTTCCAGAATCCACCATTGTGTTTTCCCAAGTGGTGCATTCCTTCTCCCGAGGGAAATGGGCGAAATGCTTACCTCTGAGATGTAAGGCCACTGACACAGAGTGTGACACCGTGTGTTACCGGAACAGCAATCAAGCCATCTCACGAAATGCTGATGACCCCTCCGTGGCCTTACACACTTCTTCATTTTGTTTAAGGTGAAGCTGAAGACATATTAGAAACAGAAAAGACTAAGTTGGAGCTGCCAAAAGGAATGATCACCTTTGAGAGCCTTGAAAAAGTCCGAAGGGAGCAGAGTAAATTCTTCACAGACAAATGAAGTCACGTGTATGCTCAAAGCACATGGTCCGACTCAAAACACAGAATGGTTGGCTTGAATCACAGTGTTTACAGTTTTTTAAACAATCAAAATTTTGATACAATGCATTTTTTAATTTTAAAATATTAAATTTCAAAATGAATTTGTTGGACTATTTTAAAATAAAATTTCTACCATTCAACTAAATCATGGAAGTATTCTAAATAGTATTCAGATTTCCTTCATGTGTGTTTTGCAACTATCTAAGTGCAAAATTAAATAAATTATATTGTTCTGAAGTTGACACCAATGTCATGTTGCTTTAGATTTTATCATTCAGACTTTCCACTTGCTCTCAGCTCTCACAGGCATCTGTTAGCATGCCCTGCCCCACACAAAAGAACATAGGTGGCCAATGGTAACCAATGCACAATGAATTACAATGTTCAGTGTTCAGAGGAGGAGGAAGATATGATGAAGTTGAGAGGTATAAATGGGACTCTGTAGAGAGTGTGAGGAGAGAAATGGGTTGATATGATCTTATTTCATTTATACATAGATAACAATCTCATTTATATATAGATAAATGAACAAATAAATACATAGAAAGAAATTATAGAAGAAAGAGAATGGAGATCTCATCCGATGGATCCATGCATGATGGAATACTACCATAATATCAACTACTCTGGAGGCTGAGGCTGGTGGTTCTTAACTTTGAGGCCAGGCTGAGCAGCGTAGCAAGACTCTGTCACACACACACACACACACACACACACACACACACACACACACACACACCTGCATAATAGTGGTGTGTTATGGGTGCCCAAAATGGTTTGTCAAGAGTTTTAAATTTAGAATTAGATTTTCTATACAAGCTTTGCTGATGTCACTGTTCATCAGATGTAGTTTAAGGCCCCTTCACGGTGGTGTTAAAACCTTACAAAGGGTTTAGCTGTTGGGCAATCTAGCCAGGCCCTTGATCCTCTTTGACTATGAGACCCTTCCTTTGAGCTCCTTGTCTTGATGTAGACACCGAGTTCACCAGGCCCTTGATCCTCTTTGACTATGAGACCCTTCCTTTGAGCTCCTTGTCTTGATGTAGACACCGAGTTCATTGATAACCCACATTCACACATCTACTTCTACAATAGTCTTTCCCAAGTACATGGAGAGGCAAAACCCAAAGACGATCTACTGAACACAGTAGATCCTAAGCACAGCTATATTAAAGCCTAGTTCAATTGACCTCAGAACCGCTGATTATTCAAAATCTCTCCTCTTCCTATTACATCATCTTTTCACTGAATTGACAAACACTTCATCTGTCACTCTTATAGTACTTAGTCATTTACATTAATTAAATATTTAGTACATCTTAATTATAGCTTCTATTAAATTTCCAAGTACTGAAAAAGCTGTGGTCTCTCCTCAGCTTATTACAGAGACTTTTGGTGTGGCTGCAAGAAGAATGAGGAAAGAAAACGTTTTACTGAGGGAAGAAACAGAAATCTCTTAAAGAAACAAAGATTTAGAGATTTATAATAACCTCGATCAATGTCTTTGTCAACAGTCAGAGACAGAGTTGTGAGAACTCTCTCCTCCTCCACCTCCATCTCCTCCTTGGTTTTTTTTTTGAGGCAGGGTTTATCCATGTAGCTCTGGCTATCTTGGAACTCATTCTTATATTTTTGGTTGTGAGCCTAGACTTTAATGGCTGAGTCATCTCTCTAGCCCCCTGGAACTCATTCTGTAGACCAGGCTGGCCTCAAACTCACAAAGATCCACCTTCCTCTGCCTCCTGAGTGCTGGGATTAAAGGTGTGCACCACCACTGCCCAATGGTAGAAGAATGCTTACCACTTGGCTTTCCCCTTCCCAAGACATGCTGGCAAAGCAAAGCTACGTATACGTAATAAGTCTCCTTCCGGGTTGGAGGGCATCCGTGAGTATCCAGTAGTCTCCTGCCGCAAAAAGACTTTGAATAACTTCATGATAATTAAAACGGTTTGTGATATTTTAATATTTAAGCATTATTTTTAAAGGATGATTTATTTTTATCTTATGTGAATGGGTATTTTTGCTTGTCCATATATCTGCACACTACATGTGTGCAATCCCTCAGAGGCCAGAAGAGGGCATCAGATTCCCTGGAACAGGAACTACAAAGGGTTTGTTAGCAGCCCTGTGGATGTTAGGTACCCTTAAACCCTCCTCAAGTACTCTGAATGTTTTCAAGTCATGTTGCAGGGAAAGACTGTGCTTTTCTACACCTTTCAGAAATTCTATGTCGAAAAAGAATAGGTTCTACTAAACACTGGTGTCCAGAATCCATGGCAGGGTCCTTTTTAATACAGCATGTTGGCTGTTATCTGAAAGGCATCCAAGTCATTTTTTAAAACCAAAGTCCCTACCTAATGTGTATGAGCCCTGAGCCCTATCCTTAGAACCACAAATGAAACCCCACATGTCAGAAATAATATACTGTTAAACCAGTCACCTTGGCTATGCCTTATAGTCATAGAAATTGTATGAAAATGGGTCAAAAGTGCATGGGTTAGCCCATTACCCATGCTGAGTTCACGATCAGACTGGGCTACATGAGACCCTACTTCAGAGAACAACAAAAGGTACATGGATTAAAAGGGAATGTGGAACGGACAGATTCAGACTGTGAAAATTGGGTGGGGCATGAAGTTCAGTGGTAGAGTGCTTGGCTAGCATGTATGAAGTCCAGGGCCCAATTCCTAGATAAAAGATAAAGACATAAACACATACATACACACAGAGAGCTAGAGAGAACAGAGAGAAACAATGACAGAGACAGAGAGACAGAAACAGAGAGAGACACAGTCAGGCATATATGTGTGTATGCACACAAATGTCAAATCTCAAAAACTGCAACCCATGTGCTCTAAATATGTCATCTGAAATTGAGGTGTTATATAGATTTCAACAATTCCAACATATGAATATCCAAATGTGATATTCTGCAGACATTAGACACTAGCCAGAACCTAGATTTTTTTTTCCTGTCCTGCCATTCTGAGAAAGAAATAGGCTCCTGCTGAGAAATCATTATCAATACAGCCTGTTGTTATTCAAACACTGTGGTATTTCTTGCCCTTGGTGTGTCTATTCTGTGAGAGGATTGGATACGTTCCCTTGGGTTTGGCCTTGTGGGCATCCTTGGGAAACTTCGGGAAGACAGTGCATGCCCCCAAGTGGCAGAAAGGACTTCTGGCATTTTTTCAAAGTGAACTGTTCAGTATCTCCACTGAATTTTTAATGACTACTTTGATCAATCTCGTGACTTATGAAGACTGGAGCAGTACTTTGATTATGTGCAGGCAGAACACAAGATCCAGAAAGGGGTGAGCAGGTATATCCAGAGAATCTGAAAGTTCTAGAACTCAAGAAGGGGGCCAAAGGAGAGCAGTCTTTGTGAGGTGAGGGGGCTGACTTGAACGCAGCCACCAGTAGACAGGTCATACATGACTGACAGGGTTAAGTTACTGCAAAGATCTGTATCAGTAGAGGGATCTTCTCACAGGCCAGTTCATTTTTATACAGTCAATGAAGAGTGGAGTTTTTTTCTGATCAAAGTATACATGCATTCCCACTGCTATGACTCTGTTGTTCTAAGCGTAGAACCCACCATAACAGTAGAACTGTACTTCAGAAAATGTGAAGGTTTTTATATTTCCCATAAGTATAAGTTATCATCTAAGGTTAAAAAAGAACTTCAAAAGGGAATTCTATCATACATTTTTTTTCTGCTGAATTCTGGTACTGAAATTGAACGTTGAATGCTGTCAAAGTCTTAGCTACAAACTCAGTGCTGTCTGAGTCACACATTCACTCCTTTTCTATTTGGTAGCATAGGGCAGGGATAACTTCAGTTAGATCAGCTTTTTCTAAGCTCATTTGGTCCACATTACTTGAATTACTATTCACTACCTAATTTTCATTCCTCTCTGTCATTTTTTTTTTTTTTTTGGTTCTCTTTCCTTAATGAGAGACCCACCTGGCAAATTCTCCTTTAAATTAACTGGCCCGTGCATTATAATTCCACTTATGAAACCTGAGGCAGCACTAACCTCAGTTGATCATAACAGTATTTTCCTGGAAAGTTGAGGATTGAGTACAAAGGGTTCTGAGGGAAAAACAGAACTGGCTGTGTCATTGTAAAGATATGGCATATGCCACCATTCCCATTTTCCAAAACTGTATGCCTAATATTTGTGCATTTCAAGGTATATTGTCTAAAATTATAATAACTCTTGCCTTAATTTTTATTGTCATAATTGAATGAGTAGGGGACTACATAAAGAAATAATGTCTGTGTATGTGTGTGTATGTATGAGTGCATATATATATATATATATATATATATATATATAATATATATATGTATCCACAGAGAGAGAATTGTAGATACAAGTGAAATAGGAATGGTATAACAATAGTCATTGAAATCTGTAAGTGGGTATTCTATATATGTCACATGTATTCCATATGATACATATTCCCATCTTTAAAAACTAAGGTATTTCCTAAATCTGTCAGTTGAGAAAACTTGATTTTTCTGGACCTTTGAAACTACATGCATTAGAAAACATAAATAACAAAAGGAAAATATGGACTGGAAAAAAAAACCCCTAATATTCAGAAGAATTCATTCAAAGTGGTAGAAAATTCCTGAAACACAACCTGGGTCAAAGAGATGACATTACCAAGAGGATGAAGTAGGAGGTAGAAGCCTTCATCCTCCAACAACAACAAAACAAAATAAAACAAACAAATAAAAAAAACCTCAGTTATTTAAAGAAACAAAATAACCCTGAGCAGGCCCAGGAAAAATCTGCAACAGAGTGGAGCAGAGTTAGATGGAGCATCTATGTAGACAGCCTGTGGATGCAAGTCTGAGGCATCGGTATGGCAGGTAACAAAAGGACAGGCTGGAGGCCCTGTAGTATCTGTGTATGGTACTGTGGATTGATAGCATTCCCAAGAGGCTTTGCTCCTCAAAGGATGCCAGTATCTTTTGCCACAGAGTAGTCAACAGCCATTCCTTCCTGGAAACCATAGAGAGGGAGACCTGACTGCATATTCCCCACTACCTCTCCCAGCCTTTAGAGATCCCAACACACATCACTCCAGAAATGCCCACATTCTAGACCTATGCTCCTTGGCTGCATTGCCTTGTTCACATCTCAGACACCAGACTCATTACTATACAGAACTAACTTGTGCTTGGACACTGAAGTTTCTCTGGGCCTACCTTTGCCCTGGGTACCAG